CATTTCTTTAAATATTCTCTTTATTTTAGATTAATTCTGTTCTAAGTGGTTTATTATAATAAAGTAATATATAAAGATTAGGATCAATTTATCTCATTTAATCATCATCTTAAATTAAACTATTCATTTCATTTGATTTATCTTCATAATCTTTTTAATAATCTAATTTAAACATATCCTTTTCATTGCTTCTACAATAAAATATAAATTTATCATCTAATTTTTACCAAAATAAAAGAGGTTCTTTTACTTTAAAAGCAGGTTAAATCAAAACATAATTAATTTCTTTTATTGTCTCATCTTATATATATTCTTAATTAATATCCTTTTTTTAAGCAGATTATCCTTTTTAAAATGATATATCTTTTTAATTTTATTTCTCAAATTAATTATATTCACCTTCTTAATCAAATCTTTATTTATTAATATTTACACATTTTTCTTTATATTTTGATGCAGAACAATGTATCATAATATTATCTTTGAAATATCCTATATCTCTAGTAATAACAAGTATTGGAAATGCTATAATAGATTTATATTATCCAATATTAGTGATTTTTTATGTGCTTTAAAATGTAATTTTTATTCCTTAATCTTTTTTACGTTTAACAGATAAATTTGAATTATTTCCTAATTTTTGACATTCATTATGTAATATATGAAACCAACAAGGAACATCTGAACTTTTTGAAATTTCTGATATGACTCCAAATAAAATATTTGTTAATTCTACAGTTTTTCTATATTTTAAGATACAGTGTTTACAATCTGAACTTTATTCTTTATGATCATGAAATAAAGTATCTAATTCAGCTTTTAAAAGACTATCTTATGCTATTTTATGTTTCTATTAGGGATTTTACTTAACTTTAATATTATTTTTTAAGATTTAAAGAAATTCAATAAAAGAAATACAAGAATCATTTATTCTCAAATTTAAGAATGGAATTTATACATATAATTTAGAATCTGTCAATAAAGCATGATTTTCAATATTAGCTTAAAATTTAAGTGCTACTATTTATGTTTTTAATATTGTTTATTTGATTCCTTTTATATGAAACATAGGATCTTTAGATTTTTATTATTATTAATTTTTTTAATTTTTTTATTAATTTTTAGTATCAGCAGTTTAAGATTATTATTATGATGATGTTGATTTTGAAAATGGAAATTTACTTTATGATTAACCTAATTTTTTGTCATCAGATTAATCTTTTTCATAATTTTTTAATTCTTCATTTTTACTTCTGTAATCTTATGAAAAATATTTATGAGCAATTTTAAATTATTCAATTGTTAATCTAAAAGCAGAAAAATATTTATAATGTTATTAATACAAAGTTTATCCATATTTATTTACAATATTTTAAAATAAATCATCAATTTTAACAGTTGAATAATTAAGATTTTTAATTTAAAATTTTAATTCTGTTTTAATAATATTAGATATTTAATCAGATACAATTCTAATTTTTAATTTATCAACAAATTAAATTGAAAATTTCATTCCAGGAGGTTTAGTATTTTCTTATCCTAATGGTTTAGACTTTAAAATACATTCCAAAAGTTTATGATCTTAAGTAACATATAATTATCCTTAACTTAAAGATGTCTTATCCATACTTTATGTAAAATCAAGTAAAGAACTCAAACTTTTTGTTGAAATAAATATTGAAAATTTCTTTAGTATTATAGATATTTATTCATTAGATTATTCATCTAATGTTTGTTAAGATGAAACTTTTTTCTTTTTATCAATTTAAGGAGATATTTTATAATTAGATTAATCTCCTTCTAAATATAATGAAATAGATAAATTATAATTTTTTGAATCAACAGGAAATGTAAGTTTATCTTTCAAATTTATTATACATTATGGAATAATTTTATCACCAAATTCTTCTAAAAAAGGAGCAAATAATGATTTTTTAATGATATCTATAAGTTTATTATGAACTTCATCTAAAAATTTTTTTTTATTTGTACAACCTATCCATTAATTATCATTATCATATTAACTTGATTTATCATAATTTTATAAAGCAGCTTATTTAAGAAAAGACCATTTATTTCCATTTTTTTATTATTTAATAACATGTAATAACATAAATTGATCTGTTTCATCTTAATCATCACTCACTACAAAATATTAATCATAATTTTTAAACTATTCATTTCCAAAATCTTAAAATCCATGTTTATCATTTTCATAATCTATTAAAAAACATGAAACATTTCTCATTTAATTTTAATTTAAAAATTCACAAAATGTTTCAAAACACTTACCACTATCTTAAAAATATTATTAATCTTTTGTTACTGAAACATCAAAAATATCATTTACAAATTCACTTATTCTAATTCTTGAATCATTAATTTATTTTTAATTTTCATTACCTTTTTATTATTTCCAAGAATTATCCTTCTTTTTAAATAAAGGTGATTGACATTCAATATTTTCATCATATTTATTTTTAAATTCCATTAATTTTGGTACCATACCTGGTGCTAATATTTTAATTTCACCTATTACTATTGCAGAATTATCATTTTCATTTGTTTTTAATCTACCATTTTAATAAATAGAAACTGGAACTTTAATTCCTATTAAACTAACAATTAAAATTAATTTATTTGTTCTATTGAAATCAAAATTTTATTTTTATTATGAATTAATATTTTTTTATTCTTAACTTTCTTAAAAATCATCTTTCTATAAATCCTCAATTTCTTCATAAAAACTATCTATCTCTTTTGCAGTATGAAATGATCCATCATCATTATATCTTTAAGTTTGTTTAACAACTTCAGAAATTGAATTATTTTAATTAAAAATTGATGGTTTTTATTTATCAATTTTTGGCTTTTTAATTAATTAAATACATAATTTACATTAACAAAAAGAAAATATTTTAGTATTTTTAGGACAATATTAAGCAACATTTGCAGGACGACATTCTAAAATTATTAAAAAAATTGAATGAACACCTACATAAATTTAAGTTTTTATTTAATCTGGATCATTATTCTAACCTTTTAAATAACTTGAAAGAACTTATGTTTTATCTCTTTCAAGTATTTCATATAAATTAATTTTTTCTTCAGCTTCTAATTCTACTGGTACATCATCATCCCTTTTTTTTTAATCTTTTAAATCAAATTAATCATTTATAGTATTTTTCAATATTTCAAGCATAGGTTTTGCATTTTATTTATTTTATCCCTCTTTAGAAGAATTATAATATCTCTTAGCTTCTATTCTAATCTCTTAAAATGCCCATTCTCTATATTTTAATAAATCTTTTAAAGACATTTATTCTTCACATTTTTTAAATTTATTTTCATCTTAAATAGTCCAACATGTCAACCAAGGTACTAAAATTATTGTTTATTTTCTTTTATATAATTCTATATATCTCTTCATTAAAACTAATCTTCTTGATGAATATCCTAAATCTAATTTATGATTCTTCTAATTTTACATAACTGCATTAATTAAATATTTCCACCATTCTCCATAATTATTTTTTACTTCACATTTTGGTCTAAAATGAAAATTATCTTAAACAATTTCCAAATTTTAAAGTACTTCATTTAATTTTAATAAATAATTTTTAGATTCTTTATTTAATTAGAATATTACAGGAGTTTCTATATTAATTGTTAAATTTTATAAAGGTTTACCTTATTCATCTTAATTCTTATTGATTATTAATTTAATTGATATATCTATTGGACTTAATAATTAATATTCTTCTTCTTTTTTTTTAGCTACCTTTACATACATTATTCCTAACTTTTTTATTTCTATTAATTTATAAATTGCATTAACATCACCATTAAATTTCTATTAAAATTATTTGTCAGTTGCTTTTATATATATATCAGCTCTAATTTTTAATTATGTTTCAAAACCAAAAATTGAATAATTATAAAATCGTAATTAAAACGATTTCACTTATACTGACATATTATTATATATTCCATCTACTATTTTTTAAATCCAATTAGGAGGAGATAGTTATTCAAAATACTTTGCCATTTATTCCTCCCAAATTTTTAATTTATGTTATTTCAAATTCTCTACTCCTTATTAACTTTATTAATCTTTATTTTAAACAAATAGACTTGCTTCTTATATTGTACATACTTCTAAATTTATTCCTTCAATAATCATTTCTGGTTATTGGGCCTTGTAATTAAGAGGCATCTAAAATATTTACTCTCAAATACATTAATTGTAATATTATTTATTTTTCCATCTATTATGTACATTGGAAATGAAAAATTTAGTAATGCTTATTTCTTAATTTATAGATTCTCCAATTTAATATTTGAAGATATGCCTAAAGAAAACTTTGAACATATGTTGATTTATTTACTTTTTTCATATTATTTTGTGAAAAATCTTAAAAATATTCTAATAGATATGTTTAAAGGCGCTTTACAAAATACTCCTCAATTTCTTTTGCCATTTATATTATTAAAAATTATATTAAAAAGAACAAATAAAAAAAATAATTAAATTCTTACAAAATAATCAAATTTATTTCATATTAGATTTATGTTATATGATAATACTAAACAATCTCTTATTGGTTTCTTAATAAGTTTTATATTTATATAATCTCTTCTTAATTCATTTTTTAATTAATTGTTTACATTATAATCAGTCTTGAATTTTCTTTATATACTTCTAAGAAATACAATAAATAGATGATTCAATAATCTTCTTAAAGAATCTATAAAGTTAATTTATTTTATATAATAAAAAAGATAATTTTTAATACGATAACGATGGATTTTTTATTAATATAAATTATAATGATTTAAATAGATTTATATATTATAAACAATGATTTTAGAATGATATCTAATAATTATTATCCATAATATTAATAATAAATTGTCAATCACTTATGATTATAAAATTATTTGATTTATAAAAGAAATAATTGAGTTTATTTATATTTTTCATATAAATATTAATAAAAATGGATATTGATGTTGATAAAGTAAGCATTTTAAATAAATTAAGATCATTGAAAAACTCTTAGAAAGCAAAGGAGCAAAATAAGGAAAAGCTGTAAATCTTACAGAGAATGAAATACGTTCATTATGTGTAAAAAGTAGAGAGATTTTTTTAAACTAACCAATGTTATTAGAATTAGAGGCCCCAATAAAGATTTGTGGTATAACTTATATTCTATGTTAGGTGATATTCATGGATAATATACTGATTTATTAAGATTGTTTGAATATGGTGGCTTTCCACCTGAGGCAAATTATTTGTTTTTAGGAGATTATGTTGATAGGGGAAGATAGTCTCTTGAAACAATATGTTTATTACTTGCTTACAAAATAAAATATCCTGAAAATTTCTTTTTATTACGTGGAAATCATGAGTGTTCATAAATCAACCGTATTTATGGGTTTTATGATGAATGTAAAAGAAGGTATAATATAAAATTATGGAAAACCTTTACTGATTGTTTTAATTGTTTACCTGTATGTGCTGTAATAGATGAAAAAATTATTTGTATGCATGGAGGATTATCACCGGAATTAACGAATTTAGAATAAATACATAGAATTATGAGACCTATAGAAGTTCCAGATACTGGACTCCTTTGTGATCTATTATGGTCAGATCCAGAAAAAGACATGTAGGGTTGGCAAGGTATTATATTAATTTATTTTTAAAAGATAATGAGAGAGGAGTATCTTATATATTCGGTCCAGATGTAATAGCTAATTTCTTAAAGAAAAATGATATGGATTTAGTTTGTAGAGCACATTAAGTAGTCGAAGAAGGTTATGAATTTTTTGCAAAAAGATAATTAGTAACCTTATTTTCAGCTCCCAATTATTGTGGTGAATTTGATAATTCAGGTAATAAAAAGGGATAAAAGAATAGGTGCATTAATGAGTGTTGATGAGACATTGATGTGTTCATTCTAAATTCTAAAGTCTTAAGAAAAAAGAAATGCTCCTTAAGCTAGACCAAGAACCCCTAAATACGTTAATTGAATTAAAAAGTTTAATTTAACATGAAAGAAATATAACTTATGTATTAATTAGAATTTCAAAATAAAATAGTCTTGGAATAACCATTACAAAAACGAATTCTTTTTATTTTTATTTCTTTTTCATTAAGAGATTAGAAACTATCAAAATTAATCTAAAAATAAATTATTAATGATTCTCTTTAAAATAAAATATTTAATAGTTTAAGAATTAGAATTCTAATAAATCATTTCTCTAATTAACAAAATTTTATTTTTTTGTATAAATATAACATTATTTCATAATTTTTGAATGAGTTTTATATAAAGAAATAGTTTGAATATCATTAAACTTTAAAATGATTAGATTATTAAAGTATATCCGTTATCTTTATTTTCAATTAAATTAATTTCTTAATGTACTCTGATACTTAATTTTATATGATTATTCATATGTTATTAATAATTAACAGAATTATTGTGTATATTCAATATATATATATATAAAGATAAAATAAATTTATATTTCTATTTGATTTTGTAAGTGATGTAGAGATTTTAAGAAAATATTTGATATTTTAATGAAGTAGAAATGTAATTTAAGTGATAAAATATGAAAATATTGTTTGAATCAAGATAAGGCTCTAATAAAATAATTATAATCATAATTATTTATCTTTATGATTTATATTATATTTCTTGTGTCTTCTGCATTAAGTGCTAAATCAAATAGATACATCAATCCATAAACAGATGTGATATATGAAACAGTAAAAGATTACAATTACATGGCTAATTTAAACTAGTCCATCTTATTTCAATATGCTAAGTATTATTAAGAATAATTAGTTATTATGGCACCTATTCTATGTAACTGATATAAGGAAGCAAGAATGAGATTCCTTTAGCATAATCAATAGATGGCAATTTTAGTTAAGGTTGTCATCCATATTCAAGAAAAATAGCACAAACATAATTATTTAATACTACTCCTCATTTGCCTTTTGAAAGTCCAGATACACTTTAAGGAATAATCACATCAGTTTATGCTGCAAATTATTTTGTATTTGTTTTGAGAAGTGATTTTTAATTGTTTATCATGAAGATAGATTACGATACAAAAAATTATGGTATTTTAGGATTTTCATAATATTAAATAATAAATTTGACTAAGGAATTTGATAATATTGATGAAAGGTCTTAATTATTAAATTCAGAATTATTATGTAGTTAATATTTAAAATAAGGAGGTTAAATATTTTGTTTTATAATAAGTGAATATGGAGTACTATAATTTTCATATAATTAAATTGAGTAAATTATTTTAAAATATATAGGGAAAAGATGATTTCAATTTCTAAATTATTTAATCTGAAAAATGAAACAATTAATCATATATTTTTTAGTGATGAAAATGATTTATTATTTATAACATATCCAACAGCAGGAGTTGATATTTACTAAATGAATCCTAATGGTAATTTAGATTTCTTAACAAATATTATTCCCAGTGATTCAATTAATTTAAAGTAAGCAAAAATGGATGAAACATCTAATCATCTCTTTATCTTAAATGAAAAATTAGGAATTCATATCTATAATTTCAATAAATAAAAATTAACTTTTGTTGAAAATAAAATGTATATTTATATAAAAGGAGGAGATACATTTGATTTTCATAAAAATACTATGTTCATTTTAGCTTAAACAGAAGATTCATTATAATATGCATTAGAAATATTTATTGATTTTTAAGGATAATAATATTACTTCAATTAAATTCATTAATTTGGATAAGATGTTTATGATGTTTATGTTGGTGATTTATTTGTTTTATTTGTTGGTTCTGATCGCTTGCATTAAGTTATATATCATTCTGTATATAAAGATTTTGATGCTTAACATGAATCATTCTTTTTTTCTGATATTGATATAATTTAAGTTGATGAATTAAATCCTCCTTGGAAATAATAATTATATAATGGTAAAGCTTTTGAAGATGGAATTTTAAGCAATGTAAATTTAACCTATACAGAAACATTCTTGATTGGTATATCAGAAAATGAAGTTAGTTTATTTAGATTAAGATTAATACCTCCTTGGGTACTTTGTAAAATCAATTTAAATTTTGTTAAGTATAAGCAAATTTTAGTTTTGAAGGAGTTAGTGTTTTGATGTATGAAGAACATTAATCAATTTTTTTATTATTAATAATAATATTAATATCAATTATATTGATATTAATTATTACCTTATTAATATGCAGAAATAAATTTTACTAAAAATTAAGTGATTAAGAAGAAAAATAAATTGAAGAATATTCTAATAGAGAATAAAAATAATTTGACACAGAAAATATTAAAACCATGATTTGAGTTTATAATTTTAACAATAAATAATTTTTAATTAATAAAAATAATGTCATAAGAAAAACTATTGTAACACACTGAAGAGGAACCTCAATCATATGCCTAATAATATTAAAAACTTAAGTTTTAAACCCCTACACCAGAAGAATAATAATTTGAAATCAAAGACTAACAAAAAGAAGAATTATTAAAAAAGATCGAAATCTTAGAAAATAAATTAAAAAACACAATTGATGACAAACCTTACAGTGAATTAATTAGAATCTTAATCTGGGAAGCTTTAGGAACAGCATTCTTTGCCTATGGAATTGTATGTTCTAGAGGAAATGATGTAATGCTAAGTGTTTATTTATTTGGTGCAATATTTTTAATTGGTAAAATTACAGGAGGACATGTAAATCCAGCTGTTTCAATGTCCTTTTATAGTTCTAATGAAATTAGTGCTTTTACTATGAGAGTATATTGGGCTGCTTAAGTAGGTGGTGCAATAGCTGGAGCTTTAGCAGCATTTGTTATTGTTGGAAGAGTTACATCTCCATATATAGCAACTTAACCTATAGAATGGATGATTGCAGATTTCTGTGGAGAAGTAAGACTCTATATATATTATATAGGCCCTTGGAACTTTTATTTTTTGTTTATTTATACATATCTAAGTTCATAAATAAACCTAATTAACAGATAATAATCTTATTGGAATAGGAATTATTGCCACTGCATTATACTTTGGAAGAATTCTCACTTATCACACTGGAGGTTAATTTTACTATTATAAAAGGGTGTTTAAATCCAGCTATGGGTGTAGGTTTAGGAATCTTTGAGTCTTTGTAAGATGGTAATTGGGATAGATTAATTAACATATGGATTTACATTTTTGGTCCTTTTTCTGGAGCTTCCTTAGCTTCTGAATTTTATAGAAGTGTATATGTAGGATTGTTACCTAAGAAATAATGATATATCATTAATAAACAATCTAATTCATAACTATATGATTTCAATTTAATAATAAATAAAAAATTATTACAAATTATAATAACAGTCAAAATTAATCTACAATCAATCATAATTATCATTCATAATGTTCATTCCCTTCCATTTTTATACCCTAATTTTATACTATTATAGTGATCTATATAATATAGATTACGGTTAAAGATGCTATGTCTAACTTCTTTGTCGACCGTAGGCTTACTTCTTTTGATTTTTTATTTTCAATCATTGGAGAAGTTTAATATAATTTGATAGGATCTTTATATTTATTTTTTATGAGATTTAAGTATCTATTTATGTATAATATATTTCCAATTATTTTTTACATTATAAAATTTTCTTCTATCTCTTCCAATCTATTTTTCTTCCTATTCTAATTCTTTTCGATCTCTAAGTCTGTATTTTTATGAAGTACTAACAAAAACCCAAAAATTGTTTTTCAAAAATGACATTGTTCATCAGGATTCCTCATTCTTAAATTAGATTTAGTTAATTTATCAAACTCATTATAATAATTGATTGAATTTTCTGTTTAGAATCTTTGTTCATTTATAATTTTTGTTTATTATTAAACTATAGAATCTCCCATTTGTTTCAAGATTGTTTATAGTAATGGTTTTATTCTAATTTTTTAGAATTACTTATCAACAAAGTCTTTTAAACCTTTTTTTTTAATTCATATATTTTTTCTTATTTATAAAGAGGCATTGAATTTAATACTTTTTTCAATTTTAAATTATCATTATTACATGTTAATATTTCTGTTCTGTATTTTGAATACTAAAATTATCTTCTTTAAACATTATTAATTATTGGAAAGATACTCTCAATTTCTTACTCCTTTTAGTGATTTTCTTTAATCTAATCATTCTTAAATTTATCTCCTTAATCAAACAATTCATCTAATAATTAAGATATCCTTTTTTTTATTACTCTTTTTATCTTTCAGTTCTACACTAATATTTTTTTTTCCTTTATCTTCCATCTTTAATTAGTTCTAAGATTATTGCTAAATTAAAATTTTGAAATTATCATCTAAAGAATTAATTTTTTTAGTCAATCAAATTAAGTTACATAAAAATTATTTTTCACAAATAATTCCTTTTTAAATCAAAATCTAATAAAAACTGATTCAAATTTTTACTCTTCTAAATGAAATTTTTATTATAATTGTTATAACTTAGAGTCACTAAGTAATAGATTTTTCGAATAAGAAAATTAATTTTTATATAATCTACTATAGTATTAATCAAATAAATTTAGACTTAAATACTGTTGGTGTTTAATTAGATTTTACTTGAAAAATAATATCTTAATAGCTTGTTCTTAGCTAATTTATATGAAATATCATTTAATTAATTATTTTTAATTAAAAATGGATTGTGAACCTGAAATAACTTGTATCTCTTAAACCAATCAATTTATTATTGTATGTAATACAGATTAGATTTTACTTTATGATAAATAAACTGATTCTAAACTAAAATATTAGTAATCATATTTAATGGTTTAATAATTTGCTTTTGATGAGGATACTTCTAAAATTGCAGTAGATTATGAGGATAATTCAATTTTGATTTTGCAAATTCATAATAATAATCAAATTGTAAAAGTATTTTAAAGTCCTCCTGCTCATTTTAATAAAATAACAGGTTTGAAATTCTATGAATAAGGGAAGAAATTAATTACTTGTAGCCATGATGAAATGATATTTATTTGGGATTTAAATACTTTTGAAGTGATTCATTAAATTAATTAGTTGAAAGGAAAAATTTAGCATTAGATATTATTTCATAACTAAAAATTTCTTACAACTATAACTTAGGAGGGATATACATGTATATATAATTTGCAAAATAGAAAAACTATCTATTTTACTAATAGAGTCAAAGCAAAGGTTTAAGAGATATGTGGAATTAAATAAAATTTAATGAAAAACGAAAAGTTTCTTGTTTAAATTGATGATAAAATAAAGATAATTAGTTTAAATAGATAAAAAATTTTAAGAGTACTTTAATTTGAGGGAGAATTCATAGATGCATTGTTTTGCTTAAATGATAGAGCTATACTATTAATTAATTATATCGATTTCAAGCTGGTTGATTTTCAATCTGGTATTATCTTAAAAACCATCCCTTACCTTGGAAATTGCTATTATTTGGATAAAGATAATGATATACTTGTTTATGGTGAAATTTAAGGAAATCATTATAAAAAACTGAGCTTAACTATTTGATTTACATTTAAATTGTTTATTATTTAATTTATAAAGTAAAAGAGTTGTTAAAATAAAATTGCACAATATGACATATTCAATGATCAATTTCTTTATTTATTCTAAAAACGATGAAGTCATCGGATATATAATTAAATTATAAATCTATAAGATGGGAAAATTTTGTATTTTCTTGGCTTTACTAATAGCTATCTCTTAGCAATCCTTCACCTTCATAGATTAAACGAGTATGATAATAAATTTATATTTAAGATTTCTACAAACAATTAGAACCTTTAACAGATTTTTATTCTGAAACAGGATATGTAGGTGTAAATGACTTGAAAAATGGAAATAATTAATTCTTTTATCATTTGTTTTTAAAGGAAGGCATATCAAAATTAGCAGATGTAAAAAAAGATGACAATTTTATCTTATGGTTAAATGGTGGACCAGGATGTGCATCTCTAATGCATATATTCCAAAATGTTGGACCATATCATGCTTATAAAAAAGGAGATAAAGATTATTCAGTTAAGAAAGGATTAAATACTTGGAATAAAGTAGCTCATGTTATTTTTATTGATTAACCTTTTGAAGTAGGATTGAGTTATTCAAATCCACATTAAAATGTTGGAAGTTCTGATTTAGCTGGATTATACTTAGTGGAGTTCTTTAGAATATTTTTTTAATAAAGACCACAATTTAAACAAACTAAATTCTATGTCTTTGGTGTAAGTTTTGGCGGTCACTATGTTCCAGCAGTTGGAGCTGCATTAGCTAAATCAAATTTAGAAATGAATTTTTAGGGTATTGCAATAGGAAATGGTTGGACAGATGCTTTCTTATAATACTAAAGTTATGCTCCAATGCTTTATTCTTTAGGTATTTTCAGTGAATAAAAAAAAATATTAACCGAGAATTAAATGGCCAAAGCATAAGCTGATGTCTTAAATGAATAATATTTAAAGTCTACTTTTGATGGATTTGCAGGAATATTTTATATTCTAACTAAATTTACAGGATAAATAAGTCCTTATGATTATTAAGATTATTTAAATCAAGGCTATGGAGAAGATTTGTACACAGAATTCATAAATCAGTACAGAAAATAATTTGGTGCTCCCAATGATCTTATTTATTAACCTTGCAATGCTGAAGTTGAAAAAAATTTTGAAGTGGATATATCAATTTCACAAAAGCCTAATATAGAATATCTATTAAATCAAGGATTTAAAGTTATGATATATCAAGGATCAAGAGATATTATTTGCAATACACCATCAATTAATTATGTGATAAACTAATTGGATTGGAAAGATATTTACTAATGGAAAAAATAACCAAAATAATCATTTAAAGCCAAAAGAGAAGATTTTGATATAGAAGAAACAGCAGGAACGATTAAAAAATATAAAAATTTCTATTATGCCACAATATATAATGCAGGACATATGGCTCCAAATAATTTGCCTATTGCATCATTAAAAATAGTAACTCATTTTTTAAATGATGATGATGTTTGGAATTGAAAAATCTATATCATTTTTTAAATGAATTTGATAATATATTAATGGATCATTTAAATATAATCAAGTTTTCTTTAATATAATTTATTGTGGATAGTGTAAATTATTAAAATTGACAATGCTCTTGTCCCATACTAATTTTTGCTAAATAATTATATTTATGTAGTACTTCAGCTAGCATTTCTTTTTATAAACTGCAAAATTTTATGAAATGTTCTGAAAAAAATGTCACTGTATTTTGAAGATGGCTATCAATTTCTGAAAATTATTAATAATTATAAAAGGCAAAAATATTCTTAAGTTCTTCCTATAAAGTAGTTTCTTAAGGTAACATTATAGCTAAACACACCTCTCTGTTTTAGGTTAAATTGCTATCCTGTAAGGCTTTAATTTGTATCGATGGTACTTCCCATCTATTAAAATCTTATTATGTAAATAGTTTATGTTTCTTTAACTCTAATTTTGATTTAAATTTTTCATATTCCTATTGTGCCTACTCTTTTTATTTAATGAACTATTTTTGATAATTTTAGTTACTTCTTTTAAAGATGCAATAGAATGATGATGAAATTTGAAAAAAGAACACAGTTCTTCTTGAACAATTTTAATTTAAGCTGTTAAATTATTCCCCCATTATACCAACATATTATTCATTGAAATATAAAGAATATCCAATTTGGAAATTTTCCCTTATGAAATTGATTAGTTAAACTTATTTGAAAATTAATATAGATCAGTGCATGTTTATCCCATATTATAAATAGTATTTGATAGTTGATCAAAATCTAACAATAATTATTTAGACTCCTTTCTTAATTTTTTATAACTTAAATCAATTTAATTTATCAAAGAAGCCGATTCATGATTATATGTAACTAGATTATCATTAATTTATAATTAAACTTATCCATCCAAAGAAATAATTTATTCCAATTTTGTCACTCTTGATAATTGAGTGCTCAATTTTTATATATGTTTAAAATCTTTTTCTTCTTTTATTGATAAAAAAGCATAAAACCATTTATCATGTCTGATCAATTCACTTTGAAACAAACTTTAAAGGAATTTCTATTATATAATTAAAACTTCTTTACTTCTAAAAATTTCAACCTTTTAATTAAGTAAAGTTCTTGATCATTTTTCAACACAGTTTTTTTTGGTAAGGGAGGAATCTATTTAATAAAATATGATACATATCGACCAGGATATATTTTATTTAAAACTTCTCTTAGCCACACAAAATCATTATATCTTCTTTAAACATTCCAACCAATTGGTTCTGTATTTATAACATATATATAATAAGAAGCTGATAGTAAACCTCCTTGAATTTTCTCAAATTTTGTGATTGAGACATTAATTTCCTTAGCAGTAAGTATCATTTTTTTATCTTATAATTTACATAAATGGATTTTTTAATAAAATCTGTCATTATCAACAGATGGTTTAGCAACAATTTCTTCATGTATATCATTTGATATTGTTTGACATTATTATTTTTAATTCTGCTACTATTGCTCTTGTTAAATTTTTGGTAATTATTCATCTTAGATCTAAGCCTCGAATTATACTTGATCATTAAATTCTGATTATCTGCAAGATACATCGTCTAAATCAATAGTTTCCATTTATGGTTGATTTGTTGTCTAAAATAAACTTATTGCTTCTTAAAGCTCCTGATAAGTCCATATGTTTACATCCTATCCACCTAAATAATAAGTAAGTTATGAATACCATTAACTTTTAGTTATTCCATATAATCTTAAAAAGCTTAGCAATCATACCCTTTATCATATATTTCCCTCCTCAATAATTATTGTTTTCGATTTATTTGTTCAGATTCATTTTAATATTACATAAGAAATTAATAATTCTTTTAAATTGTATTATTATATTATATCTATGTTCAATATTTATAAAAAGAACAATGATTATTGAGATTTTAATATCATAATTGAAATAAATAGCTTTGATATTCCTCATTAAGTCATATAATGTAGCTTGTTTAATTAAAATTTTATACCAAAAAATTTATTTATATAAATGCATAAAGTCTCTTCAAGTATTATTCCCAAAAATTGATTTATATCTAAAAGATTTTAACAGAGTTTTTTCATATTCAGTTAAAAATTAATCAATGTTCAAATATTCATTATATTTCAAAAAGTTTAAAATACTATATTGGTGAAAAACTACTAACAAAAAAATATTTACAGAAAAAAAGGATTAATCAACAGCTAGATAATTTATTAAATCAATTAATCCTCAGTTTGATTTCAAAAATGAAAAATTAATACATCATTTTTTTATATTCTAAATTATATTATATTGCATTTTCTAATAGATCAAATCAAAAAATTGTGCAATCTTCATTTTACTCATTTCTTGACTCCTACTGTATTTCCAACATTTAAACTCTCCCTGTAATTTTGGTATCCTTTTACTAAGATGGATTGACTTATTATGTATTCAATTTTTATGCTGGCTAGGTTGATTAGTCTTTATCTTAGTTCTATTTCAGTTATTAAAATAATCTATTCATTTATTCTTCATAAGATTGATCTAATAATTTAATTTTTTCTTCATAATATGAAGTTAATTGTTAAACATCACTTTGATCATAAGTTTATAGCTTTTCAGACATTAACTTCATCTCTTTTATATAATTCTAAACTTAATAAAAGTAATTTAGCCTTTAAGAATTTGCATCAATAAATTGTAATCTTAATGAATATATTTCGCTTTCTTTAAGAATAAGTTGATTTCTTAATTATAAAATATTATCTTGTAGTTCTTTTGCTGAATTTTAAGTTTAACTAGTTTGATCAAAATTTTTCCTTTTCAAACCTAATATTTAATTATTTAAAATTATTATATGTTGATTTAATCTCTCATTCTATAAATTTTATTAGGTTAATAATTGATTAGTTTCATCAATATTTTTTTTCAAATCTTCTATAAATTATTTTAACTCCAATATTTCTTTATCTTTTTGTTAGTTCAACTAAAGATTTTCATTATACTAATTTCTTAATTTCTCAAAATTTGAAATAATTTCATCTTTTTCTGTTGCTTATTTTTTTAATAATTCTTCAAATTCAAGTTAAATTATTTGTTTTAATTTTGTTTATTGTTAAAATAATTCAGCATTTGAATTTTACAATTTACATTCAATATCTTAAATCTAAAATCTTAATTTTGATATAGTTTCAAGATGTGCAAATATTTCTAATTTTTATTTTTCTTCCTATTCGCTTAGAGACTTATTAAATGACTTCTACATTTGATCTTTTTCATTCTCATAGTTTTTCAAACATGAATCAAGTTAGCCTTAATATTTGCTTTCTAATTCTATTTGTAGAATTTGTAAATGTTATTTAAGAGATTCTATAGTATTTAAACTATCCTAATCTTTTTATTTTAATTCTGAGATTTGCTAATTTTATTTGTCAATTAAGGATAAAAGATTTACTTCCGAGAATTATTTATTGTTATTTGCTTAATTAGTGTTTTCTTCATTTATAAGCTAATTATTTTCTATTTAAGACTATTCTTCTATTTAATTCAATTCATCCTTTATTTACGGCTAAACTTAATATTTTTACTTTTCAGTTTCTATTACAATTTGTTACATTAATTACTCGTTTTATTGGGTTAAATTTAAGATTTATTCATCTTTTTATTATATTTATAAAATGTATTACTATTAAAGTTAAATGTTATTAAGTTCACTTTGTTTGCTATCAAATTAAGATGAATGGTCTCGATTTTGTAATTAACGTAAATGATTCTCACTTATTTCAAGAATTATACTTTTATATTCTTCATCTTTTTAAAATAATTATTATTCATGATTTAATTTAAGTTATGAAATTTGGTTTATTAATGTTTCATTTGAATTAAGTTAATCTTAAAGATTTTAAGAAACATTCGTAATTTAATTTTAATAATTAGCAGAAATTTCGTTTATTTATTGTTTATAATCTACATCCTTTTATTCTAATTATTTTTAATATGATTCTTCTTTTTGTTATAATTCTTAAGTGAAATATTGACTTGACTCTTCTTTCAATAACTTTATTGATTATTCCTTTGATTCTAGATCGTTTTTATGCTAATCTAACATAGATTTTAATTATTCCTAATGATTCAATTCTAAATCTTATATTTTCTATTCTTATTATTTTATAGAATCATCTTTTTATTGAATAATTTCTTTGAAATTCTAACTAATTTCATTTATTTATTATTTATATTCTTCATCCTTTTATTCTAATTATTTTTAATATGATTCTTATTTTTGTTATAATTCTTAAGTGAAATATTGACTTGACTCTTCTTTCAATAACTTTATTGATTATTCCTTTGATTCTAGATCGTTTTTATGCTAATCTAACATAGATTTTAATTATTCCTAATGATTCAATTCTAAATCTTATATTTTCTATTCTTATTATTTTATAGAATCATCTTTTTATTGAATAATTTCTTTGAAATTCTAACTAATTTCATTTATTTATTATTTATATTCTTCATCCTTTTATTCTAATTATTTTTAATATGATTCTTATTTTTGTTATAATTCTTAAGTGAAATATTGACTTGACTCTTCTTTCAATAACTTTATTGATTATTCCTTTGATTCTAGTTCGTTTTTATGCTAATCTAACATAGATTTTAATTATTCCTAATGATTTAATTCTAAATCTTATATTTTCTATTCTTATTATTTTATAGAATCATCTTTTTATTGAATAATTTCTTTGAAATTCTAACTAATTTCATTTATTTATTATTTATATTCTTCATCCTTTTATTCTAATTATTTTTAATATGATTCTTATTTTTGTTATAATTCTTAAGTGAAATATTGACTTGACTCTTCTTTCAATAACTTTATTGATTATTCCTTTGATTCTAGTTCGTTTTTATGCTAATCTAACATAGATTTTAATTATTCCTAATGATTTAATTCTAAATCTTATATTTTCTATTCTTATTATTTTATAGAATCATCTTTTTATTGAATAATTTCTTTGAAATTCTAACTAATTTCATTTATTTATTATTTATATTCTTCATCCTTTTATTCTAATTATTTTTAATATGATTCTTATTTTTGTTATAATTCTTAAGTGAAATATTGACTTGACTCTTCTTTCAATAACTTTATTGATTATTCCTTTGATTCTAGTTCGTTTTTATGCTAATCTAACATAGATTTTAATTATTCCTAATGATTTAATTCTAAATCTTATATTTTCTATTCTTATTATTTTATAGAATCATCTTTTTATTGAATAATTTCTTTGAAATTCTAACTAATTTCATTTATTTATTATTTATATTCTTCATCCTTTTATTCTAATTATTTTTAATATGATTCTTATTTTTGTTATAATTCTTAAGTGAAATATTGACTTGACTCTTCTTTCAATAACTTTATTGATTATTCCTTTGATTCTAGTTCGTTTTTATGCTAATCTAACATAGATTTTAATTATTCCTAATGATTTAATTCTAAATCTTATATTTTCTATTCTTATTATTTTATAGAATCATCTTTTTATTGAATAATTTCTTTGAAATTCTAACTAATTTCATTTATTTATTATTTATATTCTTCATCCTTTTATTCTAATTATTTTTAATATGATTCTTATTTTTGTTATAATTCTTAAGTGAAATATTGACTTGACTCTTCTTTCAATAACTTTATTGATTATTCCTTTGATTCTAGTTCGTTTTTATGCTAATCTAACATAGATTTTAATTATTCCTAATGATTTAATTCTAAATCTTATATTTTCTATTCTTATTATTTTATAGAATCATCTTTTTATTGAATAATTTCTTTGAAATTCTAACTAATTTCATTTATTTATTATTTATAATCTTCATCCTTTTATTCTAATTATTTTTAATATGATTCTTCCTTTTGTTATAAATCTTGTTTATGTTAATCTAATAAAGATTTTAATTATTCCTAATGATTTAATTCTTAATCTTATATTTTCTATTCCTATTATTTTATAGAGTCATCTTTTTATTGAATCATCACTATGAAATTTTTATTTAAATCATTAATTTATTATTTATAATCTTCATCCTTTTATTCTAATTATTTTTAATATGATTCTTCCTTTTGTTATAAATCTTGTTTATGTTAATCTAATAAAGATTTTAATTATTCCTAATGATTTAATTCTAAATCTTATATTTTCTATTCTTATTATTTTATAGAATCATCTTTTTATTGAATAATTTCTTTGAAATTCTAACTAATTTCATTTATTTATTATTTATAATCTTCATCCTTTTATTCTAATTATTTTTAATATGATTCTTCTTTTTGTTATAATTCTTACGTGAAATATTGACTTGACTCTTCTTTCAATAACTTTATTGATTATTCCTTTGATTCTAGATCGTTTTTATGCTAATCTAACATAGATTTTAATTATTCCTAATGATTTAATTCTAAATCTTATATTTTCTATTCTTATTTTTTTATAGAATCATCTTTTTATTGAATAATTTCTTTGAAATTCTAACTAATTTCATTTATTTATTGTTTATAATCTTAACTTATCTATTCAATTTCTTATTAATAAATGTTTTCATATTTTTTATTTTCTTCTTACTTATCATTTTAAAGTTATTTTCGAATGTTTTCGATTTCTTATTTTTATTTTAATTACATTTATACAATCTCTCCTTCATATGCCTCTTATTTTTATTTTAATAAAATTAAAGATTCTTCTTAATTTTTTTTAAGTAGAACTTCTAAATTTTTTATTTTTTCTTGTAATTCTTATTCTATAAATTATTTACTCTAATTTATTTCTTTTATTTATTTTTCTAAATTTTCAATTTATTATATATATTTTTCATTCAAAATATTTTTATCATTTTCAATTTTTTAACATTCTTACTTTAATTAAAATTCAAATATATTTTCTTATTCTTTTTATTATTTTTTATACATCATATCTTTATTCTCCAAATCCTTTTTTATTTTGTCATATTATTCCGAAATTAAGTATATCTCCTTTTCTTATTAGTTTTCTTTATTCTTTATCAAATCTTCTTTTTCTTTTATTTTACGTTCCATCTCTAGTTAAAGCTATGAAATTTTTTCCTCATATTAATTCTCTTTATTAGACTTTAAAATAATATTATTTTTCAATTCTTCAATTTACTTTAAATATTCTCTTTCTTAACTTTTCATGCTTTATGAATGAGTTTCTTCTAATAATTTAGTTTATTCTATATAATTTGATATTAATTATTGTTATTATTTAATTTTATCCTATAATTATTTAATCAATTAATTTTTTTCATCAATAGTGTTTGAATTTAATTCTGATCCGATTTTTTGTTATTATAATTGCTCAGCGCTTTTCTCTTAATATTACTTTAATTAATCTTCCAAAAGTGTTTTATTTTATAAAACTTAATTTTTTTTTTATATTGATTTAACTAATTCTTTAATTTAAGTTTTATTCCAATCAAATTTACTTGTAGATTAAAAGGATTCTAATTTTTAAATTTAATTTTCATCAACCAACTAAATTATACCTTCAAATAGTTTTTCAATTTCTTTATCATCAATTTTATTATTTTATTATTATTATTATTATAATTATTATTCTTTTTATGCAATTGAATTCCGATACTTTATTTTTTTTTCATCTTCCTAGGATAAGAAAGCAGTAAACTTATCTAATTAAATATTTCGAAGTATTAACCGCTAAAATTCATCTATATTTACATCTTAGATTGTTCTTAGTTAATCCCGACAAATAAATGCCAAGAATTTTTCATTCATTTAGAACTATATATTAATCATTTTTTAATACATTATGATTGATGACTAATTAATTAAAAATGAAAAAGCCAAGATAAAATTCAAATGAATTTATCATAAATGTTGTCAACATTTAAGTAGAATAAGTTTCTAGAATCAATTTAACTTTTTGTTAAACTGATTTTTCTATTTTATTTTATTCATTAACCATTTCTAGCAAAAGATCAATTTCACCTAAAATTGGTTTACTTTCATCTTATTCTAATTTATGATATTGCATTCTTGGAGGTATAATTTTTTCATGAAAAAATTAAAGTACCTTCAAAGAAATAGGTTCATCACAAAAATATAAAATATAAGTTGTCAAAAAGACTAAGCCTTTTGTTAGTCTAACTGGCTTATTTTAGAAAAAGCATGTTAAAATATTGCTTATTTTTTATACTAGTATATTGTCCTATTCATTTGAACAGCAACGATAATGCCAATCAGCTAAAGAATAATTTAATGATTATCTGTTCTAAAAAGCATATTAATTTTTTTACTTCTTTAAAGATTCTTAACAGATTAGTTTAAATTTACTATTTAATTTCATAATTAGAATTGGTAACAAAATTTGGTAATGCCTATTAATATTCATCTTAAATCTTTTTGATTTCAATTCTAGCTTTAATAAAAAATTACTTGTCTCCAAAAATTATTGATACCCATCTTTTACCTACATTAGATAATTATCCAACTTTGCAATTCTCTAACTCTACTATTTATTTTTGTTGCTGCTAATCATCCTTACAAATTTTGCATATTCTATGTGGAGTTTTTGCATCTTAAGTAATTATAATGGCTTTGTCTTAACTACAATTTGAACAAACACCTCTAAAGCACCGCTTACACTAATTCTACTTAGTTTTCCTAGCGCTTAATAAAGAATTGTACCAATCAAATGATTTTCCACATATATCACAAGCATCACTTTTTGATGTTGTATTGCCGCTTATCTTCTAACTAAGTTTCTCAAGCATCTCTACAAAAATAAATCTAATTAAATTATTATTTAAGGAAAGTAAGGATATTTTACATAGAATATCAATATATGCAATAAAACAATTTATATTTGAATTAAATTAAATATTAATTAATTACATGTCTAAGGATCTAGTGGATGAACAAGGATTATCAGCCTAAACATCAAGATCGTCATCACCTTAAGATTAATCAAGAAGAAAAAAATAATTATAAATCCATTTTTTTATTGAATAGAAATACATAAAATCAGAAGAATTGAAAAAAATATTAGAGGATGTGAATGTACAAAAAATAACATAGTTTAGTCATAATATGATATCAAGTCTATTCAAATGAATCGAAATAACCAAATTCCTGGACTAGAAGGTTCAGCATTTTCAATTATTGACTCTGATGATAGCAAATTAAATTCATAACTTGAAGCCATCAATAAAATATTACAATTAATTGAATAAAAAAAAGATTCGATTTTTGAAATGATGATGCTAATACCTGAAGGTATAAAATTCTATAAATTTTAGGAACTGTCTCATACTTAATAGGTACATCAGGAAAACAAATTAAAAATATCTAACAAGAGACAAAAGCAGATGTTGTAGTAAATAATGCCATAAATAAGTTTTCTTTAAGATCGGTGAAGATATCTGGTATTGATTTTATAATATTATTTAGGCTAGTCTAATTGCATATATAATGCCATTAAATTAATAACAAATAAATTACATTAAAGAGGAATTACCGAGGATGACTACATAAAGCGAGCTGAACCTTTAGACCCAGGAAAAGTTGTTACTAAGGTATTTCTAATTAATAAAGAGGTTTAACTTGTTTTTATGGATGTAATAGTGGATTACATTCTCAAAAATAAAGATTTAGAAAAAAAATATTAATTAAAAATGAAAGCTAAAAGTAGTAATGAAATCCCAATCAAAGTATATTATTGAAATTAGAGTTTTAGAATAAATTAAAAAAAGATGAAGAAATTTTACAATTAGTTGGCACTTTGAAAAATGTGCAAGAAGCAATCAAATCCATAATTCGCAGAATAAGCTAACAATTCAAGAGAATTGATTTTGATGTTAGAGTAGTTATGCCATCTAATTTTGCATCAAAATTAATAGGAGCTAGTAATTTATTATCTTATATAATCTTTTTAAAGAGGGGTGTCAAATAAAAGAACTTGCAAATAAAGCCAAAGGAGCATAAATAAAAGTAATGTCCGATAAAGATGATACTGATATAGGATAATGTAATACATAAATATAGTTAGATTGTTTGGTTTAAGTGATTGGATCAGTGGACCATAAGTTAGAGGCAACAGTGTTAATATTAGAATAGATAGAGTGTTTTAAAAATGGAGGACCTGTATTAAAATAATTAAAAAGATCCTTGAAAGCGGAAAGTACATAAATGAAAACTTTGCATAATAATACAAAAATTCAGTTTCGATTCAGGATATGAAATTCAAAAGGTTAAGCCATATTACTAATTATTCAGATAGAAATCTTCATCATCCAGCTCTATTAGAAGAGAAAGATCCAGATCAGAATCAAACAAAAGACATAAAAAATAAAAGAAATCTAGATCAACTAGGTACTTCTAATCAATAGAAAAAGTTCAAGTAAGCGAAAAATCAAGCAAAAATCATTTCAAACGAAAATAGTCGTTCCAATCTATTTAATTGAAGAAATTGAGAAAAAACTAAATCATATAGGAAAAGAAGAAGGAGTTCATATTTAAGCTGGCAGCAGAGTATAATTAAGCAATTTTAATATTTTAGGAATTCAGAGATGAATTTGTTTTGAAATTGAGAGGAGACATGAAGAGTTGCTTGACTGTAATCTAGTATATTTTAAGTGAATAATGTAAATTATAAAGAAGATGAAAATCCATATAATTACCAAGTATATATTCTCAATAATAATTATACAGCTAAAATTAATATCATTTTCTTGATTTTATAAAAAAAATTCTTAATAAATTAGTACTTAATTCTATCCTCATCCCAATAGATATCTAAATATCTGTTCATCAACCTAAAAATAAAATAATATGCTAGGGTTTATTCTGCATTTCACTGCTCTTGTAAAAGGTTTCCCTTATAAGGTTTAAAAATATCAAGGGCGCTGATGGGGAAGCTGTCCTGAGATTCTTGGTCGGAGTATCATCTTTCCTTTTCCCTATACTATTCCCGTTCATGTTGACTGACCAACTTTCAGAAAAATGCTGAGGGGGTATAAGGTTTAAGTTCCTAACATAGGTTTCCCTTATGCGCATCTCTGAAGTGTCAGTTTAATTTTATCTTTTATTCATTTATTGAATTTATTCCTTGTTTTATGTTTACTAATTTCCCCTCATTTTTTTGAGATTTTATTAATTTCTATGTTTTGTCCTGAATTTCATTTCAAGACTAAAGTTCCTTATATGATCAGATAATTCGATCCGAGAAAGATATCTTTCAGCAGGAGATCCTTTATTCTACTTCCCACTCAAATTCTACATGGAAGAACATTTGGAGCCTTAAAATTGCTAAAAGACATTAAAAAACATCCATTGGAAACTTATGTATGATATTTTCTGAAAACCATATAATAATAATAATAATAATAATAATAATAATAATAATAATAATAATAATAATAATAATAATAATAATAATAATAATAATAATAATAATATTAATAATAATAATAGATATGTCTGGCTAAGGTTAAACAAATAAAAATATTTTGACCTACTTTTCTTATTTGAATGGCTTATATCAGCCCCTTACTCATCAGCTATTTGAAACCCTCCGTTTTCAGAATAGTAAAATAAATAATAATTATTTTTATAATAATAATTTATCCTTTTAAGGAATTCAAAATCAAAAACAATTTTAATTTTGATCTCTGCAATTATCATACTTAATAGCAGGTGCTTAAGTTTATTCTATAAATAAATTATCTCTAATTTAATCTTTTTTTTTGTTATTCCTTTCATATAAGTAGTATAAAGAAATTCTATCCTACACATCTAAATTTGATTTCAATAAGTATCGATTGATCTAAAATGATATATATAACTCAGTTCTCCAAACTTTTCTTGTACTAAAATTATATATATATAGGTGATAAAGTATGTAAATTATATGGATAAGCATATTTTCTTTTTCATTGATGATAGAAATATTGACCTTTGATGACTGAAATTTTTCACTTATTTAATTTCTGAATTTTACTACTTTAGGATAAAGAATTAGTATGTAATTTTATTTGATTCCTGCCCATCAACATGATTTTTATAAAAATGACATTGAATATTATAAGTGGAAATATGATTAATTTTTCTCTTTTGAACTTACTGTCTTAAGAGCAACTTTGTTGAGAAATTATCTTACAAATCAATAATAAATATTTTTTTGTTAACTCTATAATTATTATTTATATTTTTCTATTTTAAATGAAATAGACATTGAATTTCTAAAATACAAGATCTTTTGATGAAAGAAAAAATGAATCTGATAATTGCAAACAACTCTATCCTAATGATGTATTGGTAGTGGTAGAACAATCAAGCAAAAGTAAACTCCCAAAATAAAATTTTATTAAGTAATCTAAATTTTTTAAATAGATTCAAAATGCCAAACTCAATGACAATTATGAATGTCCTATAATATATTAAAAGCAAAATAAAACTATCTTAATATGATTCAATAAATTTGTACTGCGGTAAAACATTGTTGAGAATAGGTATAATAAATTATAATTTAAAGATTAAAATTTAAAAGAATTACATGAATAATTTAAAGACTTAGATGGCTTTCTTTACATCAATTACATAGAAATGAATTCATTCGGTACATAATTTTGAATTTGATATTTTTATGTTATTAATCATTTTCTATAGTTTTCCTCCTCAAATGTTGAAATTTCCTTATCTATTTGATTGTTTTCAATTTTATGGTAATTAGAAAGAAAAGTATCAACAATTTACTTAGCAATTTCAATACCAACAGTTCTTGCACCAAATGAAATGACATTACATCCAATTTCTATTGCTTTTAATGTTGAATGATAATCATTAACTTATCCACATCTGATTCCCTTAACTTTATTTGCCATCATTGAAATTCCAACTCCACTACCACATATTAATATTCCAATTCCATTAGATTTAATTACTTCATTACATACATTAACTGCATAATCATTGTAATCACAACTTTAATTTGTAAATGTTCCTTTATCATCTATTTAATAGTCTTTTTTTTTGCAATAATCTAATAAAATGTTTTTATAATCTAATGCAGCATGGTCATTTCCAATAAATATTTTAATTTAATTCATATTTATTTTTAATATATTATTATAATACGTAATTTTTGCTCAATAAGAAAATCAATAATTTAACATTTTATAATAGTATATAAGTTTTGGTTCAATGAAATAAGTAATATAATAAATAAGATTAATTTATAATGACGTATGTAATATATGAATTACATAAATTGATTATCGTAAAAATACTTTTTTTTTTAAAATGTCAGATTTTATTCAATGGACGTATGAAAATCGATATTAAATCTCTATTGATTTAGCAGCTGGTTCTATTAGTGGAATGTAATATTCATTTTTTAAATATTAGAGCTAATTGTATTTCAAGTCATCCATTAGACACAGTTAAAGTAAGAATGCAAATGTCAGATGATGGTGTCTTAAAAACTCTATAAAAAATTATAAAAAATGAAGGATTAAAAGGTTTTTATAAAGGAATGTCATTTCCTATACTTTCAATACCAATAACTAATGCAGTTGTATTTTCGGTTTATGAATTCTGGAGAAAATTTTTCATAGGGAATTCGAATAAATAACTCACTTATTTCCAAACGTATATATTTATATGTGAATATAAGTGCATTTTGTGGAAGTATTGCAGGAAGTTCAGCTGCTTTCTTCTCATGCCCAATTGAATTAACAAAATGCAGATTATAAATGTAAGAAACTGAAAAAATTTACAAAAATCCCATAGATTGTGTTATTTAAGTAATTATTTATTCAAATATTTCATAGATTTATAAAAAAGAGGGGTTTAAATATATTTTTAGAGGTATGCATGCTACTTAATAAAGAGAAATTCTTGGGTATTCTGCTTAATTTGCAGTTTATGAATGCATCAAGGATATACTATGTGATTTATCTTAAAAAGCAGAACCTTCAACTGCAAACTTATTAATATCAGGAGGTTTAGCAGGAGTATCATGTTGGACAATAGGATATCCTTAAGATGTAAAATAAAATAACTAAAATCAAGACAATAAAAACAATTCTCTAATGTTAAACATGCACTGATTCAAGAATTTATAAAGTTAGATGCTATGATGGTGGATTTTTTGATTGTTTAATTAAGAAAATATCAACTGAAGGTTTTGGATCAGTTTGGAAGGGATATTCGGTTTGTGTCTTTCGGGCATTTTACGCTAATGCTATTGGGTTTTATGCGTATGAACTGGCCAAAGAATAACTTACTTCATTCATTTAGTTTTGATGTAAATATATTCAATGTTTATATTTCACTTAAATATTTCTCTATTTATCTTGCCATATGATGATTATTTGATTACCTAATAATCTATGTTAGATCCTAAACATATTAAAACAACATAAAATAACATAAAATATTTATATTATATTATTTTTTTCAAATTTTGGAAATAACACTTTTTAAACAGATCTGTAAAACCTTAAGGAGACTCATTTAATTTATAATTTATTTCTTTATGAGTAAATTGCTTAAATATAATATGGTAATTATATGATAACGCATAAAATTTATAAATTAAAGAATTAATAATACATTAAATTAAATCAAATTTGATTTATTGATTCTTTTGTCCTTCTAAAAATAAGATTTTGAGATAAATCTATAGATAAAACTTTATTTTTAAAGAAAAAAATAGAATAATCAAGTTAACAGTTTTCATAACTATAAACTCAATTAGAGATTTATTCTATATTTTTTTTGAAAGTTGCATAAAGTAAATAACATTTATTTTTTCATATACTTTACTTATTATAATATAGATTGTAATATTATTTTTGATATTATAGACCTAGGTTTAGTTTATGCATAATCCTATATTTTCAAATAAATTTAAAAATAATTAATATTAATTTTAAAACTATTATTTTAGTTTTGATTAATAAAATATCATAATAAACATAAAAGGAGTTTATTGTAAAATTCATTCAAGTGTAGGGTCATAAAAGAGAACTGTTGGCATTTTTGGTCCATAAGAACTATTCTGATAATATTTAATTTAAAGTAAAAATTCAGTAAATGGATTAATTAAGTCTTTGTATAATCTATAACTGATATGATCCATATCATCTGCCAAATGTAATATACATTTATCAGATTTACATGATTCTAAATTAAAAAAAAATATACTATATAACTCTAATGCTTATGAGTATGGTATTATATTGTCTGCTTTGCCATGTAATATAAATGTTGGTACTTTTACTTTCTAAATCTGATCTAAATTATCGAATCTTTATCTAATTAAGAATTATGCCCATGAACCAATATAATCTCTTACAGCTGCTTTAAGTGATGTAAATGGTGACATTAAAGCTAAACATGCAGGTTTATATTTATTTGCTAAATAAGTTGCCGGTCCACTACCAATACTTCTACCAAATACAATAATTCTATTTTCAGCATATCCCAATCTTTTAGTAAGATAATTAAACACATATTCAGCATCATTTAGTATTGCCTCAGCTGAAGGTTGTTCATTTTTATATTTGCCATATCCAGGATATTCTACAGCTATAGCAGATACCTTATAACAATAATAAAGAATAAAATACTTATAAATTTTCACGAAGATGAACTAAAAAATTATAGGATTATGTTATATCTTCACAATTTGCATGAAAATATAATAAAATATTTGGGGAATGTTTTTTTGAATCCACATACATGCATGGAATATGACCATTGATTTAATTGGATTCTCTCGAGTTTGATCTTGGTGGAGGTTATTCATCATTAGATTCATTTTAATTTTTTTATTTGAGATCAATCAATTCTTAAGGTAATTTTATTAATGGTTAACTAAAGCAAATACTTTAATCAATTCTTGTTTTTTTAATTGGGTATAGATTTGATGACATTCTACACAATTAAGGTTTCTTTGTAAGAATTTAAACAGACTGCATATTTAATTTTTGTAATTTTTGTTGAACATCTGGACTACCCTCATTAGAATCAAAAGTTGGTGAATTTATATCAGTTGTTTATCGCTTTCTTTATCTACTTGTTATTGGTTTCCATTAAAAATTTGGTATTGGCTGCAATTAAGATTCTCTATTAAATAAGAATTTAAATTGTTACGTAGGTTCATCAATTAAAAAATGATCATCTTCAAAATCTAATTCACTTTATTTAAAGAATACTCCCCTTTTCTTATTTGTTCTAGGTACATAATTTTGAAAAGTAGGATAGAGTTTCGGATATTTTGGAATCCACAATATTTGACCATGTTCATGATCATTTTATATATCTTTTGGAGCTGGGAAAAATATAAAGTCTAAATCCATAAAAATTCTAAAAATAATTTATTATTTTCTTTTGCATTTTTATATATATATAGAAAATATAAAAAGCTTCCAAATTCCAATTAAATAAATTCTAAAATGATATAATTCTAATAATGATATTTTATAATGAATTTGAAAATGATTTGAATCTTAAATGTATTTTGAATCATTTAAAATATCATAAAAATGATTAAAAAATCATACTTTACTAATATAATATTTTGAGTTAAATTTAATTGAGATTATGAAATTAAATCTAGCATTTGTAACCTAAGAATTTAATAAGTTTAAAATAAAACTTAATTTTCTATTTTATTTATGCTAAATGTTTTATCAATTAATATATTAATATGACATAAAAATTTATTTTAATTTTTACAAATAGATAATTGAAATATTAGTGATCATCGTTTGAATACAGAATTGCAACTCTATGAACTATATATTTAAGTTTATTTTTTTCTTCATAAATTATAGTAACCTTCAGATTATTAAAATTATATTTATATATTATAATACGTCATTGGAACAGTATAAATTTTATTAAAGTATCCTCATATGAAATCATAATATAAAAATAATTAGAAATAATGAGGTCTTTTGTAAAACAATTTATGTTCACAGAATTAGTCTCCTTATCATCTTAAAACTCAATTAAAAGATGTTATAAAGAGGCTAGTGTAGAAATGGCCATAAATCCAACCAACCCTTTCCATTAATGGATTATTAAGGTTAGTTTTAATTGTATTATTTTTAGCTTGATGGAAAAAGTATAAAGACTTAAAAAAGAAACATTTTAGCAGTACCATCTCCTCAATTAGCTACTTATATTGCTTCAGAATTCAACAATCAAAATTAAAATATGTCACTTCTGAGCATGCAATTGTTTTTGCTTGCCAGTCATGCAGTTGATTTAGACTTCAATGCTTCAAGTAGGGAAATAATGGAAATGAACTTTATTAATAATTTATAAAATGATGTCATTCTCAGAAGACATTAAAATAAAGAAAAATAACTTTAAATAGAATCTCAATCATTTGAACCTTTATTAGTTCAATTAAATAGAAAATTCAACATAGAAATAAGTTCTAAAGATAATATAAATTAAGAGTTCTTTAATTAATAGAGTAAAATTAAACTTGAATCATTCATAAGAGAAATGAATAATTGGTAATTAGTGAGCTTAAACTCAAAAATAGGTAAAATAAATATTTCTATTAAATTAGAAATTCTTGAATCATGTTTCTTGGGTTTGAATTTATAATTAGGGTCTATTGACATTAAAAAGGCATTAGCTTTAAGAAACTCACTAATAGAATATGATAACTTAAAGAAAAAATCTTTAGAAAAATAATATTATGAAAATAATCTAAAACTCAACCTTGAAGCTGCTTAGTTATTTTCATAGTCAATAACTACTTAGAGTATCATGTATTGATCTTATACATATTTTTCAATAATTATGTTATTAATATTAGCTTATATCGAAGTTTATTATTTTTAAGTATAATACGCAAATATACTGTTTTAAATTGAATTAATTGAATAATTATTTAATTGTATATATTTATTATTATTCTATATTTGGATTGAAGAATATCAAATAAATAAAATAAAGTCGTTTTTTCATTAAAATTATTCAATTTCTTTAGATGTAATCTGTATTTAAGAGATCCTAATTATAAAAAGATAAAATTTAATAATAGATATTATTATTTATTTTATTTTCAATAATTATTCCTAAGTTTTTTTTGAATTGTGAAATAATTTTTGGAAGATTCTTTAGTTGATAATTATATCTACTTTAATAATCATACCTATAATATTAGGAGACTTTCTATCATATTAGATTCATTATAATATTATTATTTTTATATTTATCAGAGTCTACAAATTCTTACTATATTTATCAGAGTCCTCACAAAATTTTTTATGATACTTAACAATAAATAATTTTTGTGTTATAAAATATATTCTTTGAGTAATAAGAATCGATTAATATTAAAGTCTATAATATTAATTTTTAGGATTTTTTCTGATTATAATTAAAATAATTATGATTACGATGATAATATTTATGTATCCAGATGATTTTATAAATTAATTGATTTTATTATTGGAAGTTCCACTAATATCAGGTGAGGATATTTATAACTCTGTTATATTATTATATTCTATTTATTTATTGGGTTAATATTATTGTGATTATTTGAGTGATAAATATATTCTTACAGTTTCATACGACTTCATAATTTTATATCTATTATTTTAAGACGAAAGCATTTTATGAAGTTAATTTTATTAAAATAATATCTTATATTTGACTTCAATCTAATATATTCCATCCATTTTATATATTATCACTATTCTAAAGTTCAAATAGATGTTACCTTAAAGAATGGTTAATCTCTCTTTTAATTTTATTGCTTTCCTCCATTCTCATAAATAAAGTAATATTATTTTTTAGAAGTACAAATAATATTTTATAATGTGTCTTCCTATTTCAATAAGTATTGTCATTTCATATTAATATTATATTAAATAAAGAATAATAATTCAATTTCTTAAAATATAGATTTAAATAAAATAATCATTCAAATCCTATTTAAAAGGCCATTAAATTAAATCCAATTTCTTTTAAATCTTTTTCTATATAATGTTTTTGACATATTTCTATGACTTTTTCTAAAAATAATTCCTATTAACAATCAACATAATTGATTGGTGCTTTTTTTCTTCCGTCTAATTCTATCACACTTCCATTATGCCAAACAAATGCAATAAAATGATGACCAGCTTTTAATTCAATATTTGGATCTTCAAGATTTTCCTATGCTACTTCTTTATGAGCATCTTATAATGATTAAACCTAACCATCTTTTTTTTTAACTTCTAATTTACAGTTTTTTAAATATTCTGCTCTTTATTCAGGTGTCATATTTTATGTGTTCTAAATAAATTAAGGACAAAAACTCTCTTCATTAATAATAAATTAATATTCTTTAGGAATATTAGCTAGAATATGTAATATAGCTATAGTGCCACAAGCATTTTCTGCAATTTACTTCATATAATAAATAGACTCTGGTATTTATTTTTCAAACATCTTATCCCCTTATTCAAAAAAGTAATTATTAATAGCTGGAGAATCAGGATATACAAATAATGCTCCTAGACTACCTGGTATTAAAAATTCAGGTTCAAAACTTACAATATCTACAAAATTTGCAAAATCTGTATTTACTCCTAAATTGACTAAATATTTATTTAATAAAATTGTATTGGATTCTAAAGGTAACCAATTTTCAAATTTTTAGTCCATTATAAATAAAAAGTGTATATAATATATATATATAATTATAATTAATCATTATTAAAACTCTTATAGAATATCTTCTATTTCATTTTTATATATGATATAATTTTATGAGGATATTTTCTCAATTTATATATTGATTCTTTATTCTCTCATGATTGATAAAATCTTTTTGGTTTCATCATAAAAAATCAAACGCATTATTATTTTAAGACAATGTTTTGTATTTAAATAAAATAAAGATTGTAATTTATCTTTAGAATTATAAAAATAATAAACCATTTTAACATTTCCTCTTGATAAATGACTTAAAATTCTACTTCGTTCATCCTAAAATTGATTATTTTCCATAAGTAACATATTCATGATTGGATCATTTGCTATCATTATTGGTTTGCATTCAATATTATGAGAAAGTAGATTAAGAATATTTAAAATATTATTTGTATGTTCTGGTATATAGGAACAGATGTAATTAATAAGAGGTTCAATTTATACATCACGAGATCGGATGATTTGTGATTTCAGAATTATTTCAATTATTTATAGTGCTTAAATATCTTAATATCTGAGTAAGATTTCAAAAAGTTGATATTCTATGAACTGGATTATGCTCTTTTTAATTTATTTATGTATATTACTTACGGATATTAATTTACACTTAATAGCATTAAGTCTAGTATTTCATTTCCTTTATACTATTGATCCAAATATATAAAACAATCATATAATAAGAATAGCCATAGTTAAACATATTCAGGCTTAATATTTTAGTACTATTTTAAAATTTCAATTGCTTCTAAAATATCAGTCTCATATGATTCTAATTATTTTTAAAATACTTAAACTATGTCTGGTGAATTGATTACTCTTTTTAAACTAAATATTTTTTCTAGAGCATCTCTTCTTAATTTAATTCCATATTTTTCTCTCTTAAATTATATCAAACTCATTTTTAATATTTAACAATTAATATATATAAATACTATTATGATTTTATATTAAATTGTTTTGATAATCATAATTAAATTTATTAATACTAAAAATGTTTTTAACTTGTTGTCCTAATGTTTATTCAATGGTCCTTAAAACATAGATAAATTTCATAGATAATGAAATTCTCTTATCCCTTGATTTATAACCTCCATTTAAAGCAATTCTAAAGAAGGACTTCTTACATATATATCAAGATAATGAACCTAAATTCTCACTACCAATTTCATTTCCTAATATAATTCATTGGGTTTACAATCAAAGTTTAGTAGGATTTAAAATTAATCAAACAACTTACTTAACAGATTAAGCTTACAAATTAAAAGAATTCTTAAATGGAAAATTATTTTTTTCAAGAATCTAAGATTTCTATACTCCCTTATAAGTTTTAGGATAAGGTAGTTCAGCAAAAGTTCTTTTAGTGAAATCAAAGATTGGAGATTAATATTTTGCAGCAAAATGTGTAGAGAAAAATGAATTAATGTATTAAGAAATTGAGATCAATAATTAATTAGATCATCCAGCTTTTGTAAAAATTAAAGAAGTTTTTTAAGGTGAAACAAGTTATTATATTGTTATGGATTTATTATCAGGAAAGAATTTATAATAATTGATTAAGAACTAACATGGAGGTCTTACTTTGGAATAATCCTAAAAAATTATGCATGTAAATTAATAGTTAAATAGGCTTTATTAAGTGGAATTGATTATATGCATTCAAAAAGCATTATACATAGAGACATTAAACCTGAGAATATAGTATTATAAAAAACTAATAATCTAACAACACTTAAATTAGTTGATTTTGGTCTCGCTACATATTATAATTTAAAAAAGTAATATTATATTTATATTATTTAGATTTAAATATCCTAAATGTGGAACTCCTGGTTATGTTGCACCTGAAATAGCTAATTTAACTGATAAGGATACAACATATGGTCCTGCATGTGATATCTTTAGTGCAGGATCTGTCTTTTTTAAATTATTAACAGGTAGAGATTTATTTCCAGGAACTGGATTCAATTATGTTTTATAATTAAATAAAAAGTGTCATATTGATTTTTCACCATTAACATTAAAGAAAATACCACATAATGTGATAGTAAATTATATTATATATTGAGGGAACTTGTATAAAAAATGTTATCCAAAGATCCAAAAATGAGACCAACTGCAAATGAGTGTTTAAACCATGATTTTTTTACTCAAACAGAGAAACCTTCAAATACACATAAAAAATTGTTTTTTGCATAGACAAGATCAGCAACTTTGACTGTGGATTTTTCATCTCCTGAAGAAAAACCAGATTATAAAGGATCATTTATAACAAATGATATTGTGCCATAATTACCTTAAATGCCAAAAATGGTGATGAAATTCAATACAACTGAATTTGAATAATATGATTGATCATAACAAATTTAATATTTTCCAATATTCATCTAATATATTAAGAATAAATCTAAAGTTTTAAATAAAATACTTTTTTTCTATTTTAATTGATATATTATTCAATTTAATTGTAAAATTGTAAAAGGGATGAAATCTATATAATTGATTTGGATAAATATATTATTGATTATAAAAGTTACTAATTTTAGAAGTAGCTGAAGTCCAGTAAATATATATATTATTTCTATATTCTATAGATAATTAGTATGATCATTAAATTAATATTGTGATTCTTTTAATATTATATGAATAAAGATAAATTAGTCTCTAATAAAAATTACTAGATAGGTTATAATATAATTATTATTTTATAATGAATAAAACTAATTGCTTTCCTAAAATTCAAAAGGCTTAATCAACAGTAAAGAATTTAAAATTATTATAGGCAAAACTTATAATAAAGACAGATTGGGATTAGAGTATTAATTCCAGCATTCCTCTTACAATAAGAGCAGAAATGTCATCAAACAGGATGAAAACTGATTTTACTAATAAAAACTTTTCATCCAATTCTGACGTTTCTTATCTCAAATCAAAACATAAAAAATTTCAATCAATTGAAAGCATTATCTATCAAGATCCAGAACTCTCTTAAACAGTAAATATGATATTTAATAACTATTATAGAAATATGATAAATCTTTACAAAGTTTTTATAGTACAATGTATAGAAAATCATAAAACAAATTACAATTCAATAATAAAATTGATAAAACTACTATTAAGAGTTAATGGTTAGATTTTGAAGATTTGTTAAAGGATAAGAACTTCATGGAGAATGGGTTATAAAAATACTTCTTTGATATTTTAAAACATGAAATAAAACAATAGCCAAATTAATAAGCTATTCCTCCTAATAGACAATAAGCCTTAGATTTAAAGGAATGGTTATTCTTCATGATTTAAAGAACAAAAGATAATAGTAAAAACTTAAATGCCATATAGATTGCTGAAGAAATTCAATTAATTTATACAACATGTTTCAAAGAAATTATATAGTAAACATAATTGATAATTTAGATAAGTTAAAGTTGAATGTATAGAAAGAGGTGAATTATTATAGATAATATGGGATTTTTATATCTAATTAATAGATTAGGTAATTAAAAGTTCAAATTAATAAATGAAAGGTTTTGAATTAGAAATGAAAAATAAAATGATTGAATAATAAAACTATTATAATGAACAACTTCATTTTTAGGAACTTCTTTATAATGAAAGCAAAAATTAAATTAAATAACTATAATTTGATTATGATAGAGCATTAGATATAGATTAATAATAAAAAGAAGAGATATTATAGTTAACATAAGAATATAGAGAATCACTTGAAATTATTGATTAACATAGAAAATAAATAGATGAATTACAATTATAAATTGTTATGTTAAAAACTGAATAAGTTAATGATTCTAAACCAGAAAGTGAGAAAATAAATATCAAAGTTCAATAAGGATAATCTATAGTATCACATTTAATGAATTTTCAAGCTAAAATTGATAATAATTAGAAATATAGAATAAAATCTCCATTTAAATCTCAAGGAAGCAAATCTCCATGTAGATCACCTAAAAAAAATAGTATGATATTTGATAGATGGGAGTAGCTTAAATAATAAGAAAATTAATTAAAATCATAGATAATATCACTAAAATACTTAGATTTTGATAAAGATTATCAACCCTCTTAAAGTAAAATAGTATAAATAAGTGGTACAGATGATAAGGCTATATAGACTGAAGATTATGTTTAAGATTATTAAAATAATACTAAAAAAGAAGAATAATATATTAATAATATTGATTCAAATATTTCTATTTAAGAGAATAATAATACAACTTTATCTGATGATTTAGAATCAAAAATATCTAAGGTTTTTAAATTATTAGGAGACTAAAAATTAGATGATAATTAAAAATTATTATTATATTAAACATTAAGTGAAAGTAAAGAAGTATGTGAATAAAATAAATCATTATCATAAAAATTGATTTCAATGAATAAATTAGATTCAATGAATAAAATGGAATTATTAGAAAAGGAGGAATTATGTTAAGAATTGGAAATGAAACTTAAATAAACAGTATAAGATTTTATTTCTATAATTTCAAATAGTAAAAGGAAATTAAAAAAACTTGCTTCAAAAAATACATAGTTGATTGGAACTTTAAAATAAATTGAAAGCAAATATGAAATTGTAATTAATGATGTAAAATCAATAGAAGAGGAGGAAAGTCGCACGATGAATTTAATAAATGAAGTAGATGGAGATGAAAATGTTTATAGTATAGGTAAAGAATCTTAAAATATGGATGATGAAGGATCTTTATAAATTTATGAAGATGAATCTATTAAACATTCAATTAAAATGGTAGGTTCGATTCAATTCTAAAAATAACCCATTTAATAATCTTATGATTATAAAAAAGCTATATCAGAAACTAATTTAGATGATTAATAAGAATAATTTGATAATAGTTTTAACAATTAAATTAATTCAAAAGAAGAAATAAATAATTAAAAGAATGGAGATTATAGTAAAAAATAATCATAACATGTAAATATTAATGATGAAAATATTTATAAAGAAACTAGAGATTAAATATAATCTGAAAATTCAAAATCAGATTATTTGATAAATCCAAATTAAAAGAATTAAATTAAAGAATTAGATGAAAGTAAAACATTGAAATCATCTACTGTAAACAAAAATAAAATCAATAATCTAAAAAAATAAAAATCTATTTAAAAACATTAATAATAATAAGGAGATCGAAAATCTATTAATTAATAATAAAATCATATGAGAAATAGTAAAAATTAATTAGAAAATAAAATTGAAAACAGAAATTCTAAACATAATATAAGTAAAAGTCCTATTGGAGAAAAAGATGAAATTTCTTATATGAATTAAAGTTAAAAAAGTATAATAGAATCAGAAAGAATGGAATTAGATTAAGATAAAAATTGTGATTAAAGAATTAAAGATGTCATAAAATAATATAAAGATAAATAATTCACTAAATGTAATATTAATATCAAATATATAGATTCATTTGCTCATAGAACACTCAATTTTAATTTACTTTAAGAAACAAAGCAACCAAAAAGATTTAGAAGAATTTATAGTTAAAATACTGATGTAGCTAATAATTTACTTAAATAAGTAATTAATAGTAAAAATATAACTAAAACATTATCATTTCTTTAATTCAACAAAATAATTAATTAAATACTAACTGAAGTTTCTAAATAGAATGAAGGATATAAAATTCCATTTCATGTTTGTATTTATGATTTTATAAAAAATAAATATGGATTTAAACAGGTGGCTGAAAAAAAAATAAAATAAGTAATTAATTAACTATTATGAAGATTTATGAATTTATTATTATTGAAAAAGAAAAGAATGCAAAAGTCTTGTTAATTTCAAAATATTGTAATTTAAAAAATGAAATTGATGAAGTTGCTCAAAAATTATTGATAGAAGCTTTTGAGTTTTTTAATAATAAAATAGAATCAAATAAAAATGAATTTTTAATAACATATGAATCAGCAAATGAATTTTTAAATGATAAATCTTAACTTTGGTTATAAGCAAATCAAATTTAACAGTTATAAAATTAATTCAAAGTCTAAAATTAATAATATGGATCTAATAAATATTGCATTAATTATGATTAATTTATAATGAAAATCTTAGATTTTTATATATTTAATAAAAAAGACTATTAAAATATATTGGAAACATTATTCAAAGCTGCAGATTTAGATGGAAATAAACTAATAGAGTATTAGGAAGTAAATAATATATGTTAAAATTTAGTTTAAAACTCTTTATAGAGCAATCCACATCTAATAAATAGAAACAGAAAATTTACTTTAGATGTTTGTAAGAAATGCTGACTTTGTAGATGATTAAGGAGATAAGTATTTAACTTTGCCTAGATTTACAGAAATGGCAATTGAATTAGCTATTTTCCCAAAAGATTCAGTTATTAAATATGGTGAAGGATGTGAAAAAATAAAAGAACATTGGAAAACTGAAAAAAACACTATAAAACTAAGGTTTTTAGAAGCTAAATAATATTCCAAAGTTAAACATACATTTGAAGAATTAGATAATTTGATAAATAATGATAAAAAAGAAATTTAAAGTATAATATAATTATATTTATTAGATGTATTATGGATGAGTTATAAACTTCTTAATGAATAATCTTTGAGAGTCTATCTTAAGTAAATATTCAACATATTTCAAGATATTAAACCAAATAGTGTCTTTCTGAATTGCTGCCTTTGGAAATTTTATAAATTCAATAGTAATATAAATAATTAGATTCAATTGAATGAAATTCTTCATAATTTTATTTAAGATTTAAGTTTCTTTTAATCTCTATATATTAGCTTTATATTCTTATAAATATATATATATATAACAGTTTGTAAAATTAAGCGGGAATTTGTAATAATATAATAATTAAAGTAATTTAATATTAAAAATGGGTAACACTTAATTAACGGATCAATAGATTCTTTTATACAAAAATGAAACATAATGTAAGTATTATATTATTATATTAAAGTCACTCCAGCTTAGATAAGAAGAATACATAAGAAATTCTAATAACTTGATACTAACAACAAAGGATTTGTAAGTGCAACAGATTTCATTAAAATTATTCAACATCATAAATATAGTCCATTGTTAATTTAATAATTGATAGGAAGGAAATAACAAGAAATAGATTTCATTTAATTAGTTAGATTATTAAATGCCATTTAATTTGGTGATAAAAATACATTATTGACAAGAATTATGGATTAAGATAGAGATGGACTAATTGGTACAGAAGACATTTAAAAAACAATAACAGTATTGAATCCTAGTTGTTTCAAGAATTCTTATGAATTAGCTTAATAAGTAGTTAATGATAATGAAAAACTAACCTATAATAAAATGATTAAGTTATTGATTGATGACTGATTATTTTATTTATTAACTATATATATTACAATATTAGTATATTCATATTTTCATGAATTTTCTTTTTGTATCTCATTTTTAATTATAGAATAGTATTTAATCATAATGTAATTTTCATTTATTTAATTCTTTATTTATCATAAGTTAATTTATAATATATATATTTTTTAATCCATAATTATTAAGAATTCTTAGGATTATATAACTCTAGTTCTTTAATTGATAATTTCTAAATTAATTATTATGGGTAATAATTGTTAGTAATCAAATAAGACCGTAAATTTAAAAGAATAAGTGATTAGCATAATTATTTATCATAAATTGAAGCTTCCTAGCAAACAAATTTTGCTTTAGCCAATTTAGAATTTATCATAAAATTTAGATACTTTTGAAGAAGACTTTTATTAAAATGAATTTCTTTTAGATTTCATAAATGATGATGTTACAAATCATTGTTCTCATAAAAAATAAATAGAAAGCTTAGATAATATTGAACAAATTATAATGTAATGTCCAACATAAAGTTGTGTTTGTGAATCATAAATTGAATATTAAATTAATCTAAACCTAAGTGATGATGATCCTCTAAATAAGGCATTCATAAGATTAAAAAAAAAGAAAGAGAAAAGGCCTTAACATAGGAATAAAAAATAATTAAAAAAGCCAGTGTAGATAAAGCTTGAATTAAAAAGTATTTTAAAAAACAATAAGCCAAATCATTCATCCTTAAGCAACATCTCTAATAAAAGTGCCAAGCTTTTGGTCAAATTCAACCTTTCACCTTATAAAATTAATTAAAAAAATACAAAATCTTTATCTCCAATACTTTTAAGAGATAAATCGAAAAAAAAAAATGAATAAATCAAAAGCATGTAGCAATTTTCATATTTATGATTCTATTTTTTAATTTTTAAACTTAGTTATGATATATTTAATATATAATGATTTTTTTATCCTTAAAAATGATGATATTGAAATATATTTTGGAATTATCAAATATTTGTTGGGATGTTGTATTTATAAATATAATTTAAACAAAAATCAAATAAATATAATTTAAATTAATATAACAATAAAAAAATAATGCATACATATGATATTACCACAGAAATATTAACTCCAAGATTCTTGGAAGCATGTAGAAGAGAAGGATTTCATGAAAATGAATTAATAAAAAAATCAAAAGCTCAAGTTACATAGATGGTAAAATCAAAAGATGCTTCTCTTACTGATGAATTTATATGTGAAATTGAAAAACATTTGGAAGATAAAAGAAAAGAAAAGATTGATTTGGTTAGAGCATAAAGATAGAAAATACTATAAGAAAATGGAACAAGAAGTAAAAGCACACATAATTAATCTTAATTAAATTTTAGTTCAATAAGTTATGCAGAAAAATAATCAAAATTATTAGAAAATATTAAAAGAAGACAACAAATAGAAATTGATAAAATGATTGAGTAGGAATAACTTAAAGAATAATAAGAAAAGGATATGCAAATAAAAATATTTAAATAGCAATAAAAAGAGTAACAGTTTTAAGAAGAATTAAAAAGGAAAAGAGAATATAATGAAATAAAAAAATAATAATTGGAAATGGAAAAGTTAAAGAAAGAGTAAAGAGAGAAATAGATTTAAGACTAAAAGATAAAAGAAAATGAACTCAAAGAATAAAAAAGAAAATAAAGAGAAATTGAAAATTTATAAAGAGCAAAATTAGAGGCAGAATTTAAAGAGAAAGATAGAAAATAAAAGTAAGATTCAATTTTAAGAGAATAAGAATTATTTTAATTAGAATAATAAAAATTATAGGAATCAAAATAAAAACAAATAGAAGATAAGGAAAGAAAAAGATTGTAAATAATTGAATTCAAAAATGAAGAGAGAAAGAAATTTGCAGATATGGAGAGAAAGGAATTTGAGTAAAAATTAGAGAAAGTAAGAAAATATAATGAAGAAATAATGGAAAGAAAAAGACAAGATTATTTAAAAAAAGAGGCTTAAGTAGAAGCAAAAAAAAAAGATTTTGAATAATTTTTAGATTATGTGAAATAGTAAAAGTAAAAATAAAATGTTGATAAGTAATAGCAAATAAATAAGATTATGGTAAAAAATAGTATAATTTTAAGTAAATAAATTTGACTAAAGAAGAAGAGAAGAGAAAAAAATATGAGATTAAGTAATAAGAATACTTTAAAAAAAAGGAATTGATGGATGAGTTTTAAAGATAATAAATGGAAGAAAAGATCAGAAAATATGAGGAAAAGGAAAAAAAAATAAAACTAATATTATTTAATAATGAATTTATGTAAGAATAATAGAGAAATGAGTTATAATAAAAATTGAATAGAACTTAAGAAAAGTTGGGTAATTTGAATAGTAAAAAAGATTTTGAAAATAAGTACAGGTAGAAGTATATAGAATAAGACTAGAACTACTTAATAAATAATAAAAGAAATTGATACTGAGGATAATCTCAGAAGAATGGAATAATTGAATGGATATAAGAGAGGGAAATTAGAATAGAAAATGACAAAGGATGAAGAGAAATGTTAATAAATGAGAAAGGATAGAGAATAGATTAGTAAATAGGCAGATTAAATAAGAAAGGAAACTGAAGAAAAAAGAAAATTGTTTATGTTGGATTATGAGAAAAGAAAGAGAATGTAATCTGATGGATTTAGAAAGATGAATTCATCTATGGGATAATGATTAGATTTTATTCAACAACACTTTTATGGTTATGTATTATCTACTTAATCTTGAGGAAAATTTCTTAGTCTTTGCGATTAATCATTATTTTGTATTCTTTTAGAGAGAATTTATTAAACTAATTCTGAATACATTTCTTTGACTTAAGATCCTGTTTTAGCTGAACATTCAAAATATCTAACTGAGTACTTATTCTAGAATATATGAATACAAGTTATGCTAATTATTGACCTTCAGATGTAGTGACATTTCTATTCTCAAGATCACATTTATTGGCAACCAGAATTATAGATATTAATTAATTATCTACTTAATCTTTGAGATAGTCCATCCATGTTTGTACTTAATTAAATGAATCTCGATCAACGACACTATAAACCATAGGAACTCCTTAAGCATTTCTATAATAAATAGGAGCTATGTATCTAAATCTTTCTTAGCCTAGAAATGAAAAGCTATATGAAGACCTGCAGTATCCCATACTTAAACAGTAAGTTATGATTCACCATTAGTAATTATTTTTTATTTGTATTCAACTCCAAGAGTAGCTTGAATGGTATCATAAAATTTATCATCAATATAACGATTTAAGAGAGAGGATTTTCCAACACTTCTTTCACCAAGCATGAGAATTTTAACTTTATCTTACATTTATAAATTATATTGATTCTAAACCATTATGATAAAAGAGAAATATTTCTAATAAATAAAGGTATAGAATAGAGAATATTACTGAATTTAAAGAATTATAAATTGTAGAGATGGAACAAACAAATATATAATAATAAATATTAATGATAACTCTTTTTTTATTACTTGTACTCACACGAACTTAACCATGTTCAGCTCCATAGTCATTTATTACCAGCACTATAATTGGAGTCTGCTCACCAGATAATTCTGTTGATACCTATTCTTATCCTTTAACCATATCAAATGGTAATGAATTTACTGTCAGGTATGTATGAAATACCATCATAGTGGCTGGTTCCAATTAGATAATAAAGGGACTGATAAATAAGGATTATTTAGTGTTTAATAGAATGGAATGAGAATAGGATTAGTAGTACATGATGAAATTATTGACTTCCTGTATGAATCTTCAACTGTGTCTAAACCCTTTGTTTATACTGTTAAAAGATGGTTTATGGCAGCAACCACACTTAGTTATAGCACTGGCTATGTTAATTTTTATGTATGGTTACCAATGAACGACTTAAGAATAACTCAAGCTCCAACAATGGTGGGGGTTAATTTTAATACACCAATAACCAGTGATGCTAAATTGAATATAATGTATTTCAATACATATTCAATTTATTGTGGGGTATATTGATCTTAAAATTAGCGAGCCAATAATGTACTATTTTATGATGGTTATTATGAAAATGATAATAATTACAATTGGTTGAATTTAGCATTCCTAGGAAATTCCATTGAGAATATATATCACTATAATTTTGAAGATTAAATTGGTTAAAAAGTAAAAGGATCCTAAAATAATGGTTATCTAGGATTAACCAGAGGAGTTGATAATAATGATCCAACACCTGGATAATATATTTAATTGTCTTCATTTCAATATGTCACTCTTCCCAGTGCATTACTTGAAAGCACACATTAATCTATTAGTTTCTGGTATTGGTCTAATATAGTTGTTAATGCTGATGCTTTTGTAGAACCAGTTGGTGATATAACTAAAGAAGCTATAATATTCAGAAGAGTCTATGGTGGTTCTCAAGATTAATTTCAGATTTTGTCTACCGCAACTGCTCCTTATACTATTAAATTGAATTATGGAACAGTCAAATCTCCAATATCAATAACTCCTACTGTTGTTGGTTCTACTTGGACATATATTTCTATTGCTTCTGCATATGTTGATGCTAATCTTGGAGTTAGTAAAATCTACTTTAGTGCTTATATTAATGGAGCAATTTAAACACATACTTAGACTACACTTGCCATAAAATATGATGAGAGTATTAATGATGCTATTTTTATTGGAGATCTCAAAAATTCTTTTACTTCTGGAACAATGAGATTAGCTCATTTAGATATAAGATCTGCTTATGTAAATTATTATAGTGCTGGATCTGTTAAATGTAAGAGTAATTGTTTACATTCTATTAATTCTTATACTCAATAATAATGTTATAAATGTACTAATTTCTTATAAGATGGTTCATGTGTTGCAAGTTGCGCTGCTGGTCCTACTGGATATTAATCAGCAATTTTGCCATTATGTAGATCTTGTATATATCAATGCAATGAATGTTCAAGTGCTGCTACTTGTACAAGTTGTAATAATGGATACTATTTATAAACTACAAATTGTGTATTAGCATCAAATTGTAATGTTGGATATTTGGCTGATCCTGTATCAAAAACATGTACATAATGTGGTGATGGTGTTTTATAAGGAGCTGAATAATGTGATGATGGTAATTTTATAAATGATGATGGATGCACAAATTGCAATATAGATAGTGACTATTCTTGTAGTGGAACACCAAGCAATTGTAAATTAAAATGTGGTAATTCAGTTTTGGATGCTGGTGAATAATGTGATATTGGTTAATTATATATTAATGGTTGCATTAATTGTTAATTAGAAGATGGTTATTATTGCACTGGCACTACATGTAAATTACTATGTGGAGATGGTAAGAGAGTAAATGAAGATTGTGATGATAATAATTCTGTAAGTAATGATGGTTGTTCATAATGCAAAGTGGATTTTGGATATATTTGTAATGGAGGATCATCAACAAATAAAGATACATGTTCAAAATAGTGTCCTAATGGATAATTAGATTAGACTGAATAATGTGATGATAATAATACAAATAATAATGATGGATGTGGATATTGTAGAATTTAACTTGGATATTAGTGTACAAATAATGTATGTATAAATTTATGTGGAAATGGATTGATTGATGATTTAGAATAATGTGATGATAATAATTCCTTATTAGGTGATGGTTGTTCTTATTGTTTAATAGATTATGGATATAAATGTGATGAAACATTAACTTAATGTGATTCTATAACAGTTACATGTGGAGATTCCTATAAGAGTTCAAGTGAACAATGTGAGGATGGGAATCTTGAAATTGGTGATGGTTGTTCTGAAACATGTTAAATTGAGACAGGTTATGATTGTATTTAAGGATTGTATAGATACTCTTTAAGTATATGTCAACCTATATGTGGAGATGGAATTAAAAAAGATAATGAAGAATGCGATGATGGAAATCTAATAGATGGAGATGGATGCAGTAGAATATGTAAAATAGAAACAAATTGTGGTAATGCAATTAGAGAACCAAATGAATTTTGTGATGATGGAAATGATATTGATATGGATGGATGTACTAATTGTATTCCTGATCCTGGTTATAGTTGTAATTTAATTGAAGGAGGTACTGTTGATAAATGTAATTAATGTCCAGATAATTGTGATTCATGTACTTCTGATGGTCAATAATGTTTATATTGTTTTAATGGATATTCTCTATATAATTATGAATGTTATTCATAATGTCCTTAAGGCTTTTATTAAAAAGATATTTGTTTAGCATGTCCAGATAATTGTTTAGAATGTTATGCTAATGTTTGTACTTAATGTAGTATGAGTACTTATTTATATAAAGAATAATGTATTTTATAATGTACAGATGGTTATTTTGAATAATAAAATGGTGTTTTGGGTAATAGTTGTATAAAATGTTATGCTCCATGTAATATTTGTCAAAATGAAGTTATATGTGATGAATGTGATGATGGATATAGAATTGAAGATGATTAATGTGTTCCTTGTAATTTTGATAAAAATTGTATTAGATGTGATGTTGATGATTGTCTTGAATGTTAAGTTGGATATTAACCTGATGGTTAAGATTGTGTTAAAATTGAACCTGATTGTGGAGATGGTTTACATGCACTTTCAGAATAATGTGATGATGCTGATACTTCAGGTGGTTGTGTTAATTGTAAGATTAAAAGTGGATACAATTGTATTCTCGAATAAAATGAAGGTCCTGATATTTGTTATTAATTAAAACCTGTATAAGTATCAGCCTTTATTGATGAAATACACTTTGATAAACTCTATTTAGAATTCAATCGACCATTATCATAAATTTATAATTACACTGAATTACTATTAATTAATATCCCTGATTTGCCTGATTATTAATATGAAATCAAATAATTAGATATGTTTATCATTGAAATAACTTTTACATATTATGAAACTGTCTAAAATATCTTTGCTTCTCTCAATTTTACATAACCAAATAATATTGAAGATAAATTTGGTTGGTCCCTTGTTGGATTAGCTAATGATTCAGATAGTAAAATAGCCAAATTTGGATTGATCAAAACTAAACTTAATTATTATATCTATTATACTGATGATGAAATCTATTTTAGTGACACATTAAGTTATATTACTTTATCATTTCTTATTTTAAGTTTGATATCAGCATTTATCTATTCATATAAAATTGGAAGTGGATAAGTATGGCAAATTATACAATCATTATAATTGATTTCTTTATTGAGATTAATTAAATTAAGATATTCTTTACATATTGATAAAGTATTAGATGTGCTGAATTATTGCAATTTCTCATTCATACCTAATTTGTTCGCTTTAATGTTTGATTTGCCGAAATAAAATACAGTTAAATTTTAAATTGAAGACTATCCTTCACAATTTTTATTGAATGCTGGTGGAAGATATATAAGTTTTGTTGTTTATGCTTTAATTCTTTGGGTAATAATAAAAATATTGATTAAATTAATTAATTGGGAACCTATTCTAAATAGATTAGAAGATATTGATGAATATATGAAATTCTAAGCATTTGTTAGAATGTTTGAGATGATGTTCCTTGATTTAATGGTCTCTTCAATTTAGACCTTTTAAACTTATTATACAATTTTTGACATCATTAATATAGTTATTGCTGCAATATTCATAATATTATTTATAATTACTTTTGTTTTAGCATACAAATTTATACTTAGACATAATGATGCTTATACATTTGAATGGTTACATATTTATCTTAGCTGTTTATATGATGGATATGAAATTAGAACAAGGCTTGGAAGATTATTTATATATGTTCCATATATTAGAAAATTAATATATGCTTTCCTATTCCTATTACCTTCTGAATTCATATAGATTATCACTTTGAGTGTCCTTAGAATTATCATTTATTTTCCACTTTACAAATATAATCCTTTTGTTTCCAGAATTATATTATATAGATAAACTTTATAAGCCATATTTGATACTGTATGTCTTATTAGTGGTTTATTGTATTTAAATATTGATGATACTAAATAGATTAAGGTATCTAATGGATGGTATATGTTAATGGCAATTCTTATTACAATTATTAATTATACACTTTGGAATATTGTGTTAATATTTGTTAAGGTCAAGTCACCTAATTATTTATTAGATGATTTTGAAATTGAAGAAGAACCAAAATTTAAAAATAATTAAATAGTTCCTATGGATTATATACCTCCTGAAGATGGTTAAAATAATCCTTAAATAGTACCTGAAGGTTATGAAAAGCCTCCAGATGTTGGAATTGCATAAATAGTTCCTGAAAAATAACCAAAAGAATAAGATATCATAAGTGTATCAAGTAATAATGGTCAAGAAAGAAATAATAATAAATAGGATCCAATTGAAGAGAAAAAGAGATTAGATGAAGAAAAAAAGAGATTAGATGAAGAAAAAAAGAGATTAGAAGAAGAATAAAGATTGAAAGAGAAAGAAGAGAGAAAAAAAACATATTTGGAAAGGAAAACTACATAAAAATTAAAATAATAAGAAGAAGAAAAGGACGAATTAGTTGATGATTTTTTTGGTTGAAATTAAATCATAGATTAAATTATTCATAGTCTTTTTCATTAACAAATTCTATTTGTAATTAATGTATATCTGATTCTTTTTTACATTCTAATCTAATTATATTATTCTCTTTTTTGGTTTTCTCTTTCTCAACTAATCCTTCAAATATATCAGGTCTATATTAATTACAATAATTATACTCAATTTTTATTTTATGATCATCTCCTACTTTTTCTATTGTTAATGTGATTTCTTTATTTTAATGTTCTTGATTATCTATTTTTATTTTTTTTAATTTATTCTATATGTCTTAATCTTAAATTTACTTCTAAAATCTCTATTTTTTTATTAGTCTCCTAATTTGGAGATGAAATTGATTTATCACTCTTTCGAATTGATTTAAATTCAATTATTGGACTCACCAATCCCATATTATTGTTTTATTACTTAGGTAATTATAAACTATTTAATGGCTGAGTATTGAAAAATAATTTTTCTTGTTGACAATTAAATATATTCGTTGGTTAGAACTTTTTAGGAGGTGTTGACAGTTTTTAATCAGATCCTGCTTATTCAAATGATGGTGGTGGGGCAGTTATTACTATTTTTGTATTTTAGTTATTCTCTTTTTATTTTGGTCCTTTTATCTTCAAAATTCTATTTTATTCACTTAAAATACTTTCTTTCCTGAATTTCTTCCGCAGTATTAATAACTCCAACAACAGGTAATACTTCCTCATCATCTCCTTCCTTTGCTATATCAAATTATGGCTTTCTTTTAGACATTAATTTAATTATTTTATATTCCCGCTAACCCTTAAAGTTTTAAAGATGAAGAAACTATTTAATACAATTTCTAACAGATTATTTATAAAACAATAAATTCTTATACATCTTTAAAAACAAAAAAATATAATTTATTAGACCTTATCAAACTCTAATTTTAGATTAATATCTAAAAATCATTTTATCTAAAAGCTAATTATTAGATCAATAAAATAGATCATATTTAATAATTCAAGCTAAAAATAAAAGTATGTTATATATATTTATTTAATTAGTTGTTATAGTGAAATTTTCATAAATTAATAAGAATAGAAATTAGAAAAAGCATTAATCATAATTTTTTTTATTAAAGAAACATTAAATAAATTATAATATATATTCAAAAAGAATCTGATGATTTGAATTAAGTACTAAAACAGAAGAATAAATATTTTCAACTTGTAAATCTAAAGAAACTTTAGCTTTTCAACGATTTGACAAATTTATTTTATTTTCCTTTAAAAAAACTAGTTTTATTAATGGAATAAAAACCGAAGCTTACATTTGGAGAAATAAATTACAAGAATATAGAGATATTCAAAATAATTACATAAAAGACATTACCAGTAACTTACAGCGATAAGTTTTATCACAGGATTCTTACTTACTAAGACTTTTCTGCTTTAGGTAAATATTAGCCTCATTACAGGATATTACAATGATATTGCCGTGGGAGCTATTACAGCAAGAATAGAAGACTAAGATAATATTAAAACAGCATATATAATGACATTTGGTGTCCTAGATGCATATCGTCGTCTGGGATTTGGTTCACAGCTATTAAATGAACTCATCAATCGAATTAAGTCTTATAAAGAAGTTAAAAGAATTTATTTACATATGTGGTCGAATAATGATGTCGGTTTCTAATTTTACTCAAGTTAAGGATTTGAAAAGACTAAATTCATGAAAAATTATTATACAGATATTGAGCCTCCTCATTGTTATATCCTAACTAAAAGGTTATATCCAGATGAGGATCCTCCTATTTAATATACAGAGGAAGATGCAGAAACAGAAAAAACTTAAAGGGAAGAATGAAAATATAATGAGTTATGTTTTATTTTATAATCGATATATAAACATCTATAGAGTAGTCATAAATTGAATTATAAAACATACATAATTTAACATTAAGTTATAGACTAAATTCTAAAAGAAAAAAGCAAAAAGGAATAAAACATAATTATAAATGTGTAGTAAACTTTCAAATTAATTTCTCATTAAATTTTGATTATTATAAACAAAAATCTTTAAAATTATTTTATTATAAAATAATGGTCAATCTATACAATTCTATTTTTTATCATGCTCTTTTCTTAATATTAAATTCCATTTTTGATGATTATATAATAATTAATAAAGTATTTCATTTAAATTTATAATATAACCATAGGATTTTTTTATATAGTAAGAATTTTCCAAATAGAAATGAAATATTTTAGAATTTTTAGTTATTAAATGATTATAAAAATGAAACAATTCCATAAAATAAATTAATAAGATCATCAAAAAATTTATTTATATATATCTAATTATCCTGATTAACGCAGATCTCTTTTGTTATAATTCATTTCAAGCACATCTTAATAATATAAAGGTTCCTCTTTTTATTTTTTTTTTTCAAAAGGAGCAGATAAAATAATTTTTCTTTTAGAATTTAAAGGTATTTCATTATTGAATTTTACGTTCTTTTAATTTTTAGCTAAATTCAACATGGATATTGACTCTTTAATTAATTTATTTTATCCAACTATTTCTAATTCTTTAACAGATAAATTAGGAATTATTTTTTCAATAACATCTTTTTTTTCTTCAAATCTCTTCTTAAAACCTTCAGGTCTTTCATAAACTTATTCTGCTTTATTCTTTCTAACAATTTCAAATACAGCTTTTTCATTTTTATTATTTAATTCACCTGGAGCTGCTCTTAGTTGCATTTCCTTAGAATAGAATTTATAATAATACCCATAAATGATTTCCATATTTCTCAGAGTCTGATTATATTAAGTCTAATAATTTACGATCTTCATAACGTTATCTAGCAGCATCAATATGATGAAAAAGTGATTGCTTTGGATCTCTTCCACATGCTTTGGCTGATTAGATTACTCTTTATTACCATTTTTGTTATTATTATTCAAAGGCTACCATTATTTTGTTTTCTCTATGAGCATATATTTAATCTGGTTTAGTAAGAGCCATCTTCACTCCTTATTCTGGCTATTTTTATTACTGGATTACTCTTTCCACTTCTTTTTCTACATCACTTGCATCCATGTCTTCATAGATGAAATCAGAGTCTTGATTATGACGTTAATGTTTTTAGATAACCCTTTAAGAAGGTTTAGAAGGTATATTCGATTATTCTGATTATTTTAGAATGAAACTTTTTTTTTTAAATAGATCTGGATTACCAACTATATAATAAGAACAAATCTTTCCATCTTTGTAAAATTAAGCCTCATCTTAATCCAGTGTTTATGTCATAAACATATTGTTTTGTTAATCATTGGTTTTTGTTACTTTTTTTAGCAAATATTTTGGTTTAGAAGACATATTTATTTTAATTAAATAAACAGATAGCTAACAAAGGCACAAATTGTTTATTCAATAAACATAAGAAATACTCTATAATATAATAAATGATAAATGTATTAAAAACCATAAATATCTAACACTACTTTACAAAAATTAAATTATTTTTACACATTAGATAAAAGTTAATACAATCAATTATGGCAATCTTAAACTTATTTAATTAACAATTTATATTGAATTGAATAGCATTTAATTAGTTTTGAATTTAAAAAGAATGAATATATTCAAATTAATAAATATTCTCTTTATTTTGAAACAATAGAAAAATAAATTAAATACCCTTTCAGATATTACTTTTATATTTCAGGTACCAATTATCTAATGGGCTCTTATGATCTATATAATTTAATATAATTTTATATCTGAAAATTTATTAAAACAAAATATATTATTCTAAAATTGTTATGAATTAATATTCCTAAAATAAATTCTATAAAATTGATCTAAAATTCTTATTTTTAATATTATTCTTTTTAATATCATCTATCTTGCAATAATTATTTTCATTGATCAATTATATTTATTATATGATATAAGATCAAGATTTAATCAAATCTTCTTAATTTAACAATAACATCATATATATATTAATTTAACTCATATAAATAAATTTTTTATTTATAAATTTTAATAAAGCTCAAAGCAATAATGTATTAGGATCTTCAATATAAAATTTAAATCTTTGTAACCATTATGCACCGACAGCTCCATCAACTACTCTATGATCACAGGATAATGTAACATCCATTTAGTTTTCAACCCTATGATTTAAACAATAAAAATTACTTTGGTTATCCATTTTCATCAGGGACAAATCTTTTACTTGTTTTACCAACTGCTAATATAGCTGATTATGGTGGATTAATAACAGCAATAAATTAATCAATACCAAACATCCCTAGATTTGAAATGGTAAAAGTGCCACCAATAAATTCTTAAGGTTTAAGTTTATTTGCTTTAGCTTTATCGGCTAATTCTTTTACTGTTGAAGCAATAGTTCCAAGACCCTTACTATTTGCATTAAAAACAATAGGAGTTATTAAACCTGCATCAGTTGCAACTGCTATTGAAATATCAGCATTGGTAAACTTTCTAATAAATGTACCATGCCATTAAGAATTAGCTTATGGAACATCTTTTAATGCCAAAGCACTTGCCTTGATAATAAAATCATTGACAGAAATTTTCACCTTTTATAATTTATTTAACTCTTCTCGTACTCTTTTAATAATTAAGTTAATAAATACTTCAATACTTTATCCATTGTAACTGTCATAGTTAAATAATAGTGAGGGATAGTTGTTTTTGATTCTAATAATCTTGCAGCAATTGTTTATCTCATATTAGTAAGTTCTGTGTCTACATAAGGATTGCCTTCAATTGCAACAGGTTTTGAAGCAGTTGCTGGTTTAGCTTATTATTTAGCTTGAGTAGGAGGGGGTGTTTATTAAGTTGGTTATTCTTAAGTTGGAGCTTAAGTTTATTATTATTATTAAGGAGGTGAAATTACTTATTGTTATTATTAAACTTCAGGCTTTGATCCAGATGAAAGAAATCTCTCTACATCTTTTTTGACAATACTACCATCTATACCAGTTCCTCTTACAAATTCTAATGCAACATTATTTTTCTTAGCAAATTCTTTTGCTAGTGGTGAAGCAAATATCCTTTGTCCAGATTGAGACACTGTTTGAATTGGTGTTTCATTAATTATTGTTTATTATTATTATTATTATTATTATACTGGCTATGCTTAAGTAGTTTAAGTAGCTGCTGCAGCACCCTCAAGAGTATAATTAGCAAAACTAGGCACATTATCCTTCTTTGGTGTTGAGATAGCCAATATCTTAAATAAAATTATTAATTACAGTTCCTAATTTAATATCTTTAGTTCCGGCAGGTACCATTAATTTTGCAATGTAACCATCTTCTTGAACTTCGAATCCAACTGAAGCCTTGTCTGTCTCAATCTCACAAATCACATCTCCAGGACTTATTTTATCTCCTTCCTTAACAAGCCATTTCATTAAATTTCCTTTTTCCATTGTTGGAGATAATGCAGGAAGACCTAATTTCGAGTGTTTAGGGAATGCTCCTCCTGTTGCTGCAGGTTGTGTTCTCTAAGGTGTTGAAGATTATTAGGGTTAAGCTGCTGGTTTTGAAGCAGCAGAATTTTACTCTGGTGATGAATCTTTGAAATTAGCAAATGATGCTACATCTGATTACTTTGGAACTATTACTGCAACTAATTATCCAACTTTAACTCCCTTAGAGCCTAATTTAATTTATTCAATTTTATTTACCTTCAGGAACAAGGATTTGGGCTAAGAATCCCTCATCTTGCATTTCAAATCCCACAGTAGCTTTATCAGTCTCAACCTCACATAGTACATCACCTGCAGTAATTGGGTCACCTACTTTCTTTAAGTACTTCTAAATGTTTCCTGCCTCCATAGTTGGTGATCTATAATTTAATAAAACTCATATACAGAGCAGGCATTGCTAATTTCTTATGTTTTGGCAAAGAAGTGGAGAAATAGCTAACAGGAATATTTGTAAATAGAGGTCCTCTTATTGCCAATGTTTATAAAGGCACACAATGCAATAATTTAGGTCTGAAGACTTACATCACCCTTAAGGCATGCTTTAACATTTTTAATTTAATTAATTTATGTATATTAGAATGTCTGGCTGAATTGTTATGTATATTACATATCAATATATTTCTGTATTAAAAATTTTGATGCATCTTTCCATTTCATAATTAATATTTTCACAGATTAAGGAAAATAAACTGTGTATCATTAATAAATAAATCATAACTTTGAAATTTAATAATTAAATTTAATATGACGAACTTAAAATATGAGAAACTATATTTATATCAAACTTTGGAATTAAGTCTATGAAGCCGTATAATTTATTAATCTAACTAAATTGTGCTATTTTTATCATTTGACACAAGTATAGATATTATTTGAAGTGTTTTTTTTATTTTTTCTGTCATTTTTTCATCTAATTATTGATCAACAGCTGCTTTATTCAAATAATTTAAGGAATATTTCAGAAAATCTTAAGTAAGGACAAATTTGCTATGAAAAATCTTTTGAAATTCTTCCTCTTTAAACCAATGAGGATATTTATTCTTAATTTCTCTTTCTAATTCAAAATAATCATTCTAACAACTAAGAAAAGTCACTTTTTTTTATTATTTAGATTATTCTTCTAAATATGCCATATAATAGATGTTTACAAGCTTTAGATAAATAAAAGCTAATTTAAGTTCTTTTCCACTTAGTATTAATTAATATACTTTATAAAAGTAATTGACTAAATCTAATAAAGAAATGGTTTTATTACTAGAGCTATTATTATTATTATTATTATTATTATTATTATTATTATTATTATTATTATTATTATTATTATTATTAGTATTATTATTATTATTATTATTATTATTATTATTATTATTATTATTACTATTAACAATTTGGTTATTAAAATTAATTTATTATGGATTTTAATTATTCTTATGAAGAACCTTCTTCACATCAGAATTTTGAGCATTTTATTACTATGTTTATTAAGAAGGAGTATTGTTAATATATGAATTAACTTTCCTTTAATTAATATTATTTAATTATTATAATAGTTTTTTTCTCTTGGCACTTGAGTTACTATTTTTTGTGCTTCTTCTATGTTCATCTTATGAATTATTACCACCTACATTTTTTTAATTATCAGGAGTAGATTAGATATCTTAAATAGGAGTTTAATTTGATTAAGAATTAGAATTTGCATTGCTATCATTAATGTTGGCTTATTATTATTGAGGCACTTAAGTTTGAGTATCTTTTTCATCTAGATTCAATAATTCTAGTTTAATTTTTATTTGATTTTCATTTAATTTTAATTATTCGTCTACACTTCTTGGTTCAAGTAATCCAACTGTTTCTGATGCTGTCAGTCTGTCATTTGGATCTATTTTTATTAAATGCAATATTAAAGCTTAAATCTTTTTAGAAACACCAGTGTTTGGAAATTTTAATTTACCATGTTCTTTAAACTTTGATAAAGTAATTTTTAATATATCATTGTTCTCAGAATAAAATGGTGATTGTCCAAAAACCATCTCATATAACACACAACCTAAAGACCACATTTCTGCTTAACAATTTATCTGATTATCAAAGAGTACTTCAGGTGCCATATACAAAGGTGTACCAATAATAAATGTTTATTATGCTTAATCTATTTTCTAAGCAAATCCAAAGTCTGCTAAAATACATTTATCAGAAAGTAAAATATTTGCAGATTTTATGTCTCCATGCACTAGAGATATTTGAATTCATACTTATATTGTGTTAATGGATAATTTCCAATGCTTTTGCAATTTGTAGAGTATATTATAGTGCTTCTTCTTCTGAGATTAGAGATCGTTATAATTTTTTTAGAAGATCACCTATCATTTTGAGTAGATTTATTACCTTTATTGTAAAATTCAGTTACTAGAAATACTTATTTATTGGTTTGATTATGATATAGTAATTTAAGTATATAAGGAGAATCTAAAAGTTTAAGAATGTTGATTTCATTTTCGATCATGTACATTTGAATTGGATTGTTAGGTTGGATTGTGATAACCTTAACAGCTACTATTTGATTAGGCTTATTCTATTCATGTCCTTTATAAACAACTGAATACTATCCTTTTCCAATAACTTAAGAGCTATCAAATACATAAGGACCAGTCTTATTAATTTAAATTCTTACCTACATCAACAGAGACTGTTTGTGTGGAAGTTGTAAATTTACATGAGCAAGAGGAGACTTCACTCTCTCTTAAGGACTTAAAAATCTTGGGCGTCTCATCATAAAAATTATTATTAAAAATTATATATAATAAAAAAATTTAGTTTTTTTCTCTTTTTATTCTAAATTCAGTTATATTATTATTATTTAAACGAAAAATTATATGTTATTAAATTTATTTTATAAAACTAAATTATTCCAGTATGATTAAATATATAGAAGAAGTTTTAATCTTTTGATAATCCATAAATAAATGTGAAACTTTTAATATATATAGTAAAATTATTGAAATATAGAAGATTTATAGGATGATTTTATAATTATATAAAGAGTTTAATTGTGTTTCATCTATAAAAAAAATTAAGAAAAAAGAATACAAAAAGGAATGTTTTTTTATTTTCTCTATGTAATATAATAACTAAAGTCTAATGATTTAATATCTCTCTAATTCATAATTTATTGATATTAACATTTATGAATAAAATTTAAGTTTGAATTTAATTATATATCAAATCTCTACTCTCCTTGTAATTCTCCATAAAATATGAATTACCCAAAATTATAATTACTATTTACAATTAAATGATAAAAATAATTAAAAATAATTTCATCTTTTTGAATAAACCATTTACTAATTTGTAGATAACTATATATTAAAAGGTTTGAATATATTTTAATTATTTGATACAACTTATAAAGGGTTTGGTTATGGTTGTTCATATTTTGGCTTCAATAGCTTCTCTAAGAATATTTTACTTAAGATTAATTTAAGAATGTACTTTAGTGCTCCATTTTATGTATAGTTAATAATAAATATTTACTAAACGAAATAATTTCCCAAAATTGAAGAAGTGCTTTTGAGGAATATATCTAATTCACATTTTAATTCATTTTTCTAAAAAATATGATTTAAAGATTTATGTATTTCATAACCCATTGAATTCAATATTTATTTTGTGAATTTTATCAGTAAAGTCTAGTTTTTTGTATAGGCCCATTAGTCTCTTAATTTCTCAGAAAAAAAAATGTAAAAGAAATACTGAGCTTTAATAATTTTTTTATAGGATTTTATCTATTTGATGATATCTAAGGTAAATAATTAGATTTAGTTTTTAAATCAAATTTAATTATCTTTTTTTTCAGGAATTAAATATCATTATAAAATAATTAGAATTATATTTCGATTGATCTTGTCTTTAATTATAATAACTTATTGTTTTTTTTAGTTAATATCCACTTTATAAAGATACTTTTTAATCATGAATTGGTTGAAATTTAGTAAATTTACTATAAATTGTGTAATTCTAATCTAATTCAAAAATATTATTTACTAATAAAATAGATTTGATTTATTTTGTGATACTATTAATTATGTTAATATCAAAACCAGTTGTTATTTTTATTTTTAATTAGAAATATCATAAGTTAAACAAATCTAATGAAAGTTGATCCAGCATGATATTCTAATTTTTATATTTAATTTATTTTCATTTTTAGTTAAGAGGCATTTATTTGAGTTTTATAATGTGGTTGATTCAGAAATCAAAAACTTTTCAAAATTATCAGATTTCTTTACAATCAAATTATTATACAATTGATGGACAATGAATACATTAATAGTTATTGATATGATTTTTAGAATATATCAATGAATAAGGATTAATATTGTCAATTACCATTTAATAGTTTGAACCAGCAACTTTAATGGAAACCTAAATTGATATTTACCTATTTACTGAATATGCTGTATAATTTATGTCTCCTTTTTAATAATCATATAGTTAGAGTTTCAATTACAAACCATTTAATATAATGAATGATAGGAAAAATAACATTAATAAAAATTAATGAGTATTGATTAAATTCTTAAAGATTAAGAATAAGAATGGTGGTAAGCAGGAAAAGAAGATGAATATAATGTATTAAATAAAATTTAGAGAACTTCTTGTCGACCAATATAGAGGAAATATTTGGAATGTTTGAAACATAATTTTGATGAACAAATGATTTGTGATTAATTCAAAAAAGACATGGATAATTGCTTAAGTATATTGTAATATATGAAAATAAAGGAGATTCAGAAAAAATTGATTAAATGAAATATACAATTAATATAGATATGATTGGTCTTCAAATTTTGACCACTGCTAATAACATAGATGAAAATTCTTCATATTAAATATTTCCATCATTATTTTTATCACATTATTATATAATCTTACTCCATTCAGTACTATCAATATCAACTCCACACATTATATCTTATAACTCTGCTTTTGAGATAACTCCATTTCCATCCTATCAATTAATAAGATTAAAATATTACTTTATCAAACATTTTAAAAGCTTAATCAATTTTAGATTTAGAAAGAATAATATTTTGTTTTGCAGAAGCTACTAAAAATTCAGTATAACTTATTTTTCCAGAGTTATTTTGATCTATTTAATCAAAGATTTAATTAACTAAATGTTTGGCCTTCAACTCATCATTAAATACCTATGTATATGCTATTACATAATGTAATTATAATACCTTAGACTAATTCTTCTTTTGATAATTATCCATCTTTATTTTTATCCATGCTTTAAAATGTAGATGTAAGTTACTCTTTTTCCTCATTAGACATAACTGAACCTGCTATTAATTACATTATAGCAGCTCTCATATTGCTTTCATTCTATTATATTTATACATAAAAAGAATACTCTAAATTTCCCTAATTCATTCATAACATCTAAGCTAATTTTCTCTTCTCGAGCTTTTTCTTTAATCCATGGATCTTCTAAAATCTTTTAAGCTGAAGGTCTTTTATTTGGGTCGAATTATAACATAGATTTTATCAATTCTTATGCTTCATATGATAATGTAGTAAACTCCTTAGATGTAAAATTATATTTGCCAGCTTTTATATTAGTAAAAAGTTATGGTAAGCTTGAAACTTTAGACTCAAAAGGAAATTTTCCTGTTAAAATTTGATATAAAATAACACCACATGACCAAATATCACATTTTTCAGTATAATTCTTATCAATCACTTCTGGAGCAAGATATAACGGCTAAATTAAGTATAAAATATCAAAATTACAGTTCCTATTACTTAAGTCTAAGTTTGACCATTAACATATCTTTTAGCAGTTCCAAAATCTATAACTTTGATTTTTGACTATGGATCTGAAGAAGCTAACATTATATTAGATGGTTTCATATCACTAAATTGATTGAATTAATAATTACCGATGAATGATATTTTAAGCATGACAATAAGCAATTGCTGATAAAACTTATTTCATATATTCTGCTGCCATTCTTTCATTAAAAGTTTATAATTTTGTCAACTTATCAAGTAGTTCTCCCCCATTAAGATATTCTGTAACTAAGTAGTAATTTTGACTATCTTAGTACAGTTCAAATAGTTTAACAATGTTTGGATAATCCATATTTTTAAGTAAAGAAACTTCACTAAACATAGCTTCTTCTTATTCTTTTAGTATTTTCTTTTTTGAAATCTATTTAATAGCTCTTTATTGTCCTGATTTTTTATGTTGGACTAACCTTACTTGACCATATGAACCTCAATACTATAAAATCAAAATACCTTCTCCTAAGATTTTATTCATGATATAATTATCTGTTATATCTCCTTTCTTTAAGTTAATAAAGATGTCTGGACCTACTTTAAATTGATTTATTGCAAGAGCTATTTTGAATATATACTATCATTTTTACATTTTTAGTCTTTACTCAATTATTATGACTTGTTCTCAGATTTACCTCCACAGCTTCCCATTAATTAATTAAAAAATTACTATCAAATCTAATTATGTTTCTTATTTATGATGTTATTTTACATCAAATTCTTATTATTATGCATAAAAATTATTTACCAGAAATTCATTAATCACATTCAACTCATCATTTAGAATCAAAATACAAACAAAAAATTTAATCTTCAAATTCCTCTATAGAATGGGATCAATTAATCAATACATCTATGCCAAACTCATCTAAATTTCAAGTGATACCAAAAGCTTCAGGTGCTCTTAATTTATCAAAATTAGTACCTTCATCTGATGTTTCATATCTAAAATCCACTAAAAGAAACTTTGCCAAACTTGGAACCAGTATTTATAAAGATCCTGAACTATAATAAACTGTAAAATATTTTATCTATCGTAGAAATATGATAAAAACATGTAATCATTTTATAGTACACTATATCGTAAATCCTCTTCAAGATTACCCTTTAATACTAATTTAGAAAAAGAGCCTTTTTCAGGTCGTCTATTGGATTTCACTGAAATTTTCTAAGATAACAAAAAAGCAACTGGTCTATAGAGATACTTCTCAGAAATTTTAAAACTAGAAATGCAATAAAGTCATTAAGAAAAAGATATGGTTCCTCCGAATAGACAATAAGCTATAGACTTAAAGGAATGGCTATTTATGATGATAACATTTACAAAATAAGAATCCCCAAATATAAATACAAGAGAATTAGCAGAGAGAATCCAATTGATTTATGCTTCATGTTTAAGAGAATTGATTAAGTAATTGATAATCATTAAATAGGTAAGTTAGTATTGAGTGTACAGAAAGAGGAGAATTACTATAAATAGTTTGGGATTTTTATGTTGAATTGATTGGATAAATAATTAAATGTTATTCTGAATAATAAAAGGAATCAGAGAAATCATATATTGAATAGATGTAAAGAATTTAAACATTTCATGATTCTTAAATGGAAGCCTAAAAAGTTAAATATTAAGAATACTAAAATCAAATTTAAAAAATAAAAAATGAAACATGTGATTCAGTAGATGAACTAAATTTAACAAAAGCAAAAATGTTATTATTAACAGCTGATATGAGATAATTATTATAAACAAATGAAGCTTAAAAAAAGGAAATAGATTCACTACTTTTATAAATTATGTTATTAAGAACATAAGATTAGAGTGATAAAAAATAAGAAAATTAGTAAATAAATGTAAATTTATCTTAAGGACAAAGTATAGTATCACATCTATTAAACATTAAAGATATTAATACTGAATATAAATTTAAAAAGAGTAGAGTTAAAAATGCTAATTTTGAAAAGTTTGAATAACTTAGATAATAAGAATAACAATTGAAATCTGAGTTAATAGATTAATAAATCTTAGAACCTGATATAGAATATAATGATTAAGAAGTACAAGTAGATATTGAATATTAAGAAAAAGAAATTTAAACAGACTTGGATATGATAACTTTGGATATTTAAGAATAAAAATTATAAGAATAAGAATAAGAAATTCAAAATTTAGAAAAACAAACTGAATAAATAGATTAAGATTTACAAAATAATGAAAATGTAACTTTAATATTAAATCAATAATCAGATATAAATTAAAATTTACTAGAAACTCAAATACAATAAGCAATAAAACTTATATAAGATTCTCAATTAGATTAAAAATAATAAATATGTGATATTCTTATTTAATCTATCTCTCAAAATCAATTGTTATCATAAAGAATTGCTACATTAGAAAGAGAAGAAACAATATAAAAAATAGAATTATTAGAAAAAGAAGATTTTAATTAAGAATTAGAATCTAAATTATCTTAAGCTGTTTCTGATTTTATTGATATTATTAAAAGAAAAAAGAATCAAATTAATAAATTATTAAAATAGAAGAACACTTTACAAGATACATTAAATTAAGTATCATCTACATACAATATATAAATAAATATACCTGAAATTAATGATGATGAAATAGATATATCTGAATAAAAGGATTATGATTAATCATAAGAAAATTATTAAGAAATAGAGTAATCTCAAAATTTAGATTATTAAGATGATGATGAATTTAAAATAGATGAATAGGATGAATTAGAATATTAATTTACAGATAGAACTAAAATATAAGAAAATGAATAAGATAATTATACTAATAAATAAAATCAAAAAATCTTTAATCCAAATTAAGATAAATAAGAATATTAAATAGATTTTGAAAATGGATGTTAAAAATAAGATAACAATTTAGATTAATCTATTCGTCAAAATACTTAAACTAGTCAATAAAATAATGAATAATAAACAATAGATTAAATTAAAATTAATTAAAGTAATGAGAAAATAACACATAAAAACTAAAAAAATTAATAAATAAATTTATAAAATATTGAAAAGAATAAAAAATCAAAAAATAATGTTCCACCTATTATATCTAAAAATTAAATCAATAAAACTGAAATAGATAAAAAATCATAGGTTTCAGAATAAAATTAAAATTCTGTTGATAAAAAAAATATTTAAAATAATAACATTAACTAAAATTAGTCTTAATAAATGAAATAAAATGAAAAACCTTAAAAATCATTAACTTAGTTTACAAAAACTGAAATTTAGTAATAATCATCTTCATAATAAAACTTAAAATAAAATTAATAAAAAAAATAATTTAATCCTTAGGATAAATAGAATAATTAAAACTAAACTGTTTAGAAAATAGAAAAAGAAAGAATAGTTGATAAAAATTAAGTTAACGATCTAAATTAAGGAGATTAAGCACTTTTAGTAACAAATAAAGATTAAAAAGATTAAAATTTTTCAATCAATTATAATCCATAAATTTCGAAAAAAAGAAATTCAAAAGCACATATTTAAGAAAAAAGTATTAATTTAACTTAAAATGATGAATCTAATTCTGAAGACTTAGATTTTGAATCATCTTAATTTATTTAAAATAATCCATAAGGTGAAAGAATAAAATAAGTAATTAATTAATATAAGGATTATAAACCTAAAATTAGGAACAAATTTAATCCTATAGTCCTTGAACCTAAAAATCAAAAGAGATTTCGTAGAATCTACAGTTAAAATACAGATGTAGCTAATAATTTATTGAATGACTTAAAATCAAAAAAGAAATAAAATAAGAAAATCTAATTCTCAATTTTGTAATTATAAAAATTAGTATTATAAATATTAAGTGATATATGCAAATAAGCTGAGGGATATAAAATTCCTTTTTATGTTTGTATATATGATTATTTTAAAAACAAATATGGATTTAAACAAGTAGCTGAAAAGAAAATTAAATAGGTTTATTAATTTATTTATTATGAAAAAGATAATCATATAAAAGTAAAATTACTTGCTTAATTTTGTTATTTAATTGGAGAAATGGATGAAATAGGTTAAAAATTATTAACTGAAAGTTATCAATTTTTTTCATAAAAAAATGATTTAAATTATGGAAAAGTAGAATTGTTATTAAGTTATGAATAAGTAAGTGAATTTTTAAGTGAAAAATCATCTAGATGGTTATAATAATAATAAATTTAATAACTTTTACATCAATATCGAAATTAATAATAAAATAATTAAAGATACTATATTAATCATGATAATTTATTATTAAAAATATTAGAATGCTATTACAGTAACAAAAAAGATTAATAAACAATATTAGAATCTTTATTTAATGCAGCAGATTTAGATGGAAATAAATTAATTGAATTTTCAGAAGTATTAATAGTATCATATAATAATAGTTTAAAACACTTCACAGGGCAATACATTAAGATAAATTATCAAAAACCTAATTATTATAAATCTTTACTTCAAATGCAGATTTTTAAGATGAAAATGGTGATAAAATGTTGACTTTACCAAGATTTACTGAAATGTCAATTGAACTTGGAATATTTTAAAAAGAACATGTTTTAAAATATAGTGAAGGTAGTGAAGAATTAAAAAATAAATGGGAAAAAGAAAAATCCAATATTAAATATAGGTATATAATATAATTATATATTATTAGATTTTTAAAAGCTAAAAAGTTTTAAAAAGTTCGTCACACATTTTAAGAATTAGAAAATTAAATTAAAAATGAAGAGAAAAATAAGTAAACAATATTATGGGTAAGTTTTAAGTTGTTAAATGAAGAATCATAAAGGGTTTTATAAAAGTATTTATTATTAATTAATAATAGTTATGAAACAAATCAATGTTTGTATGAATTATTACCAGAGTTATAATTAATAATGTAATAAAACAAAGTTATTGAATAATTAGAATGAATATTATAGTAACTTAAGTTTATTTTATATTTTAATTAAATAAATTGGGAAATGGGTGAATTTTAACAAATTATAAATTAATTAATAAAAATAAAAATAATATTATAATTATAAAATGCAAATAACATTATTTAGTTTATACTAAGTTATTTTTATCATCTAAAATGTTGAGTTAATTCATTATTGCTGATTTTTTATCACATCTTGATATAAGATCTTCTTTATGATTTGATTATTGAAATTCCAAACACCAATATTAAGTAAATATCAAATTCTTTTATAATAATTACTAATTAAAATATTATTATCTTCTGATTCTTCTTCATCAATTAATTTTTATAATAATAAAATTACATTAAAATAATTTATAAACAAAATATAATGAATTTATCATTTATGATGTCATTTTAGAGCTGTAACAATATCTTCCCCACTTAATTATGATAATCTGACAATTAATTGTTTAACTCTTTTTTCTAACTAAAAATATTAGGATATATAATATATACCTCTTCTGAATTTAGATTAGTTGATGTTAATTGATGTAAAAATGGAATTAAATCATTCATCAATACTAAATATCTTTCATCTAATTGATCTATCAATCTATGTATTAATTTAACAATTGCAATTATAATGAAAGAACTTGTTTCATTCTTTTTATTTGAATGCCTGCTTATCACTTATAATATTTTTAAATGAAAATCTTTCCATTTATAATCATCATTAATTAATTAGAATAAGGCTAATATAGTTGGAGTAATCCATTCATCAATATATTATAAAATTGATTCATACTATTAAACCTTTGGACAATCCAATGTTAATGCTAAAGGATCACTTAATTTTTCAAATTTTTCTGTATCAACAAATTATTCACAATCATTTTGACATAATGAAGATATTGATTGTAAAATATGTCTATTTAATAAAAGTTCTAATCTATAATACATATCACATTCATCATTAGTTCTTTTTGAAAGTTCTAAATTAATATATGAAATTATTTACTTGCTTATTTAGGTGTTTCATAAAAGATATTATGGAATGTTTATAATTCATTTACTATGGCATCCCATATATAAGAATAATATTTAGTAAAATACTTACCTAATTTATCACTAATCTAAGTAGATAATCTAAAAAATTATATTCTTCTATATTTATTGAAATTATATCCAACTTATTATAATTATTTTCTAGACCATGTAATTAAATTATTAAATAATTTCTTAAAAGAAATATCATTAATCTTTAAAACAATCTCGATATATACTTGATTTATTTAATACTCTAATTTATCAGCTTCGAATATTCCATTTTTTATTTCAGAATCAATATATTATTCTCTTGAATAATCAAACATTTATTAAATTTCTTTATTTAATTGCATATATTATTCACATACTAATTCTGATTCACATTTTTATATTAATTATGCAATATAATCTACACAATTCAAAACTACAAATGGTTTTAATTTTCTAGATTAATTCATAATGCTATTTATGTAAACATCCAAATGAACTCTATTTTCAATATTATCTAAAATACATTAAAAGCCTTATTTATCACCTTCTATCAAATATAATACTGAAATATCTGTCAAATGCTATTTACTTATTAATCCTTTAAATGATTTAATTAAAGTATAGGATGTATTCATTAAAATAAGTTTATTAGAAACTTTATGAATAATTTATTCATTATTATATGTAAATTCATTGTTGTCTAATTTTTTAATATTTTGTTCTTAACATAAGAGATTAATAAGTAAATTAAAAACTAGATTTAAATCATTTAAATATGGGTATGAATCAATCTATGAAAGTAATGAGTATAAATTTAAGATTAATGATTAATCTTATTCATTTTAAGATTCAACTAATTTAATTAAAACTGACATAATTTCTTGTCCTTGTTATTATAATTATTTTTGAATGAATTATATAGAGTATAAATAATTTAATAATAATAACATTTCTGTAGATAAATTTGGAGTTGGTAAACTAATTTCAATAATAATCTATTATATTAAATCTCTTATTAATTGTATTTATTGTTTTTAAATCTTTATTAAATCTAACCTTAATATATCATTAAAGGCTTATAATAGTATATGAGAAACACTTTTAATTGATATACAATTTTTAATCAAAGGAACTAATGTTTCTATTTTCATTGAATGAATTAAAGATGTTCTAATTCTTTCACTTAAAGATTTTAATTTTGAATGAGCAAAAACATTAGAGAATTTAGAAATATGAACAATTAGACTCTTTAATTAATCAGCTTACTTAATATTCAAATCACTTTGAATTAAATAATTTTATAATTAACCTTACAAATCTTCAACTAATTCTAATATTCTAAGAAGAGATAACTTAATTTTTATTGGTTTTATTTATCCTCTCATAGAAAAGCCTACTTTTTTAATGCAAGATTCTAAATTTGGAGTTTAAAGTTAAGTTAATTTTTAATTTAATTTAATCTATAAAAGTTTTTAGTGTCTTTGTGTTCTATAAAATAAAGATTCAGCTAAAGCTGTTGTTATATGCAATTTGATTTATGGTGAAAACTTATTCACTTACTCTTTGAATAATTGAATATATTCATTTGAAAAATAATAAGTAGATAAAATATACATTATTACCCACCATTATTCTAAAGAAAAAAGTCCAAAATTTTATAAGATTTCTTAATTAACATCCATTGTAGAGGTTATTTAGATCAATTATGAAATGAAATAAGCAAAAATGCAAGAATTAAAGTATTTTATGTTGTGATTTTAAAATTATTCAATTATAATTCTATAAAATAATAGAGAATTACGTTGTCCATAAGTATTGACATCTGGATATGTTAAAGATTTGAATGCTGATTTACATTTATTTATCTAAGTATGTTTAGCAATTAATCTGATACAACTTGTAGTTGCAGTATAATTAATTTATAAACTCAAATCCAAATTTTGATCTAATACTTTTTATTATAATGAAGAGCATTCCTCTAATAAATTTGATTAATGATGATCTAAATAATCATAAATTATTTGAGATATTAATATTATTTGAGCTGGTTAATTAATATTTAATTTGAAACATTTTTTTATTGATTCAATATTGATGTGTTATATATTGGCTCTTAATAAATCCACTAAATGTGTTAAGATATCTAAATTAGGAGTTTCCAATAAACTGATAATTAGATCAAAATCTAAATCATCTTAAACAACTATTTATTTATTTTTTAAATTATGAGAGAAAACATATATTATCATTTAAGTTCTTACTTCTGCACTAAATAAATTTGATTGATTAAGATATTCATTAATAACAGTACAATAATCTTTTGGCAATTTGAATAAAGTTTTTTTTAGAAATGAAAAATCAATTTCTTCATTTTGATCTTTAATACTACTATAATATTTTAAAATATTAAGATAACTTTAAAGAAGTTCATACTTAAAATTAGTTTCAATAAATTTAATAAGATTTATAATTTTATCTAATTTGATATGTTGTTTTGTTTTTGTAAATGTACTACTAATTGATCTTAATTATCTATATCTTAAATCATTAAAATTCTCTAAATAAAGAGTTTGCAATTCTAAAAGAGCATTTTAATCTTTTAAATTTCCAAGACTTTTTGTGAAATTAGCTTCTTTTCTATTTTTTATCAATGATCCAATTGTTTATTATAATAAAGATTATGAAAAATTAATTTTTTAAATTTTCAAATCGTTTTTAAAACTTTCTTTTAATTCTGCTGCAATTTATAAATAAAGCTCTTATTATTCGGGAGTTAAATCATCATATATTAAAAATAACTTAAATACAAAGTTTAAATTTCTACTAGATTTATGTAATAATATCTTTAAAGATCCTAAATGATTTAAATCATTATTAAAAAATATTTATGGATCAATATCAATAGATTTTATGTATTTTATACATAAAGCATTTTCTAAATTTAATAATTATATGATTGATAATGATTACATAATTTTAGAAATAAATTAATCATCTTCTGTATATTAATTAATAAATTTCTATAATAATTATTCTTCTTATAAAATATAACTTAATTAAATCTATAATTATTTATAGATTAACAATTTTTAAATTTGATTATTTTATAAAAGTGATTCAATTAATTATTCATCTTATTATTTAATCAATTTTATAAGTTATTCTTTATTTTAAACATTTTTTAATACTTTATTAGATTTTGAAAATTCATTAATTGTATCAATTTAAAAATGTACACTAAGTAATAATAATGATTCATAAATATTGGCATCTACTTATTTTGAATGAGTATAAGTAAATATTTATTAAAGATTCTAAATAAATTCTCTATTATCAATTTAATCTGAAATGTTATTGATTAATGTATAAAGTTTATTTGTATTAAACATAACTGTTTGTGGAAATTGTAATTCAGCTATTTATAATGATAAATTCAATATTTTAATAAATTAAATCTTTTTAGATTTAATAAAATAATTAAATGAATCTTCAATCAAATTAACTAAGGTACCTATAGAAAGGTCTGTCTCCTTTTAATTTAATTATTTGATCACTTATTCTGAATTATTAAAGGTTAAATGAATTTGATTTGATTTAGGAAATAAATGTTTATATTAAGTATCTTATAAATAAGGTCTAACAACAGTAATAATTTAATCATGCATTATTGAAACAATAGAATCTAAAAAGTGATTATCATTCTTTGTTAATTAATGTTTCAAATAAAATATTAATTAATGTAATTATTTTTCTGGTATTTGAATATCTTTCAATTATTTAATAATTTCAATTAAAAGTAATCCATTATTGAAAAATTTAGATAAATCTTTATTTAATAAAATTAAAGATGTTTCATAAGTAGTTTTTATACCAAATTAATAAAATAATATAGCTAAATCTAAAAGATTATCATTATTTTAGACTTAAGTATATATCCATTAGGCTGTATTTTCAATTTGATTTTCAGTTAATAAAATCTTAGTTGGATCAAACAATTATAAATTAAAAATGAGATAAGTAAATGATTTATTTTCATCAGTACAATTTTCAATACATAAAGCTAATAATTTACCAAATGAACCTCTTAATTAATCCATATATCCAGTTGTTACTTTTAAGTCTTATAAAATAGAATAAAGAAATGCTAATTAATTTGGTTATCTTAATTTAATATTTTAAATTTCTTATTCTGTATATAAATAATCTTAAACAGTAAATACAATTTCTTCTTATACTTCTACTTTCTATAACAATAAACATTGATAATCAATTATCTTCTTCAAAATTCTATAATCTAATTACATTTATCTAATTAATAAATCTCTTGGGATAGTTTATCCTCTGCTAATTGGTTCATAAAAGAATGCCCACATTGAATTTCTTTATAAATATTACTTAACAATTACCTTTATTAATCTACTAAATTTTGTAATAATCTAACATATAATTTAGTATTATGATAAACTAAAAAATATATTATAACTTCATCAACTAAATATTCATGAATTCTATAATTTCTTAATAGATATTCCATTGAAGCATGTGTACCTTCAAATGTCCAATATTATGACATTAATAATAAACATTATCTAATCTCTTTATCCAAATCAGCATTCTATTATTTTGTTTACAATTATCTTGTAATACCTATAAATAATAATAACATTTAGATTAATACCTTTGTTTTAGACATTAAATAATGACTCTTAGAATCTAGAGAATCGATTATCAATTTGTGTCAATTTATTTATTCCTTTACAACCTTGATAATAGATTGTATCTAAATCTGTTTAAGCACTCACTTATTATGTATAAAGAAGTGATGCATATTGTTTTTATTGATGTTGTAATTATCCCAATTAAGAACTTAAAGATTATGCCATTAATTAAAATATAAAATTATCAAAATGAACTTAGACTTCTATCAATTCTAATACATGCATCATCCATTAATTGCATTAAATTATTTGTCATTATCTATCTCTCTTTCTTTTCATCTTACAACATATATGATAAGTTCTAATGAACATCATTTATCATATCAAATATTTTATTTTCCTTTTATCTTCTAAGTGTAGATTCTTAAGAAATGAAGTTTTTAAGTTAAAAAAGATTTTATTCTAATTCACCTTCTATTTACTCAAAGGATTGCAATCTATATATATATATAATATTTATTTACCTTTGTTCTCTTTCACTTTCTAGAATGTCTTCAATCTAATTAACTGAATCTGCTATCATTTATAATTTATTCTGAAGAGCAAAGTCATATTGAGATTCATTTCTTGAAATCTAATCTTATAGATTATTCCAATCAAGTAGATGAGATATTCTTTTGTCCATATCTAATGATTATTGATTTTATTGTTGTAAACTTTTATCTAAAGATTTTTTTGTATTTTCATAAGCTTTTTATGTTTTATGATTATATTCTTAAGTCAAATGATCTTAAACATTTTAGTTAAGAGTATTTATTGAATCTTATAATTATTTGATTTCAAGATTATTAACTGTTAATGCTTGTTTTTCAATCTCTTTCATTTTATCTTGTAATTATTATAGTCTGCTCACTTTTTGATTATCAACCTCTTATGATATTCTTCTCCATTTTTCAGAAATCATCTTTATTGTATGAGAGGAGGCTGTTTATTATTATGGTTGACCTACACTCTTTCTTTATTATTGCAACAGCATTATTGATAAAATTTATTTTTAAGTTAAAATAACAGAGTTTTTATAATTCATTCTAATAGATGTTTAATAAATATTTGATAGTTTTAAATTAATCATCCTATTCAACATACTTGTGATCTTAATTATTATAATATTTTTGAAGATATTAAAATAAAAAGATCATAAATATAATGCAAATACCAATCAAAATTAATAAGAAACCTTCAATTAATTATAAATTTTATCTATATCTAGCAAATTAAAAGAATTTTAAAATTATATTAAAAATATGTTTAATAATTTGCAATTAATAGATTAAATTATTAGATAGTAAATTGAAATAAAAGAATATGAATAATTACTTGTTTTATTTATTTGTTAATAAATTCATTTGATTTTATCATTAATTTTGTTATATTTACTCTGCCTTCTGAGCTTTCCAGGCAGCTAGGTTAATAATCTTAGGATGCTCCCAAGTGAATTCAGGTTCATTTCTTCCAAAATGTCCTCCAGAGGCTGTTTTAGCATAAATGGGTCTTCTTAATTTTAAATCTCTAATGATCACTCCTGGTCTAAGATCAAAATGATCTTAAACAATTTCAGATAAATCATCATCATCAAGTCCTTCAGCATTTGTACCATATGAATTAACACATATAGAGAGTGGTTCACTGATACCAATTCCATAGGCAACTTAAATCATGACTCTTTTGCATAATTTTGATGCAACAAGTGATTTAGCCACCCATCTAGCAGCATAAGCAGCACTTCTATCAACTTTTGTAGGGTCTTTACCAGAGAAGGCTCCTCCTCCATGGCCACCCCATCCACCATATGTATCTACAATGATTTTACGACCTGTTAATCCAGCATCCCCATAGGGTCCTCCAACTGTAAATGCTTTGGAAGGATTTAAATGATATTGAGTTTATTCATCAACATATTTTTCTGGTAAAATTTGTCTAAAATGAATATAATAAATTATAGATACTTTAATACATGTTTATGTAATTCTGCTTCAATTTCACTATGAGTTATTTTCTCATCATGCTATTAGGATATGAGTACATTATGAATTCTAACAGGATAAAATGAAGAATTTTCTCGTTTGTATTCTACAGTAACTTAAACCTTGGCATCAGGTCTCATCCAAGGACAGATTTCACTTTCTCTGCATTCTTGAAGTCTTGAAATCAGTCTATTGCAGAGATGATGTGTTAATGGCATTAATTCTGGGGTTTCATCAGATGCATATCCAATCATTAAGCCTTAATCCCCTGCTCCAATTTCATCTTCATGTTTAGATCCTACAACTGCTTAATTGATTTCTTAAGATTATTAATCCAGAGAAACTATAATTGAAGCATTCCTATAATCTAATCCCTTATCTAAATATATTAGAATATTTTATATACTTATATTATCATAACCAACCTACTTTATTGCTTCTCTAACGATATTTTCATAAGGTACTTAAGCATGAGTAGTAATTTCTCCAAATATCATTACAAGAGAGTTTTTGCATGCTGATTCACAAGCCACTTTTGAGTTTGGATCTTATTCTAAACATGCATCAAGCACGCTGTCACTTATAAAATCACATAATTTATCTGGATGACCTGCACTTACACTTTCTGATGTAAATAGGAAATGGCCTTTTGGTAAAGCAAATTTTATTTTCCGAATTGCCTATTAATTGTTCTCCTCTTATTGCATTTTACTTTAACAAATTTAAAAATAAATATTATTTCTTAAATTAATCAACTTATTTATACACACACAACGTCATTCTTTACAACTCTTAAAATTTCATAAAAATTTACTTTACATTTAATTAAGTATGAAATTTAGATAGAATATCTAATAATTTATTTGTGTTTTATCTTCATTTTTTCTAAAATTCAAAAAACAAAAAGAATATAGATTATAAGAACTGAATTTATACTTCAACTTTATGATAGTAAATATATAACTTTTATAAATTCAAAGTTTTAATTTATTTCCCAGAATTATTATTATTGATAGAGGAAGCTAGGAAACTAATTAGTCATTCATATTAATTTTAAGGTTCTATATTATTTTTTAAATTGCTAAAAGGCTTATTTAAAAATATTTAAAAATGAATAATCCTGAAATTATAATAACTAATTTCTGAGATTAATAACTTACACACTAATTATCAAGAATTACACATGAATCATAAAAAAATATAAGGCAAAGCATATTTTCATCAATTATTCATGGTAATATTCTATTTACATTCTATACTAATCCAATATTAATGATTTTGGATCAGAGAAATTTTTTAATTATTGACTTGAAAAGCTGCTCCAGGATATTTAAATACCAAGAGAATCAATAAGTTAATCACCTTAGTTGCTGAAGTCATAAATCATGATCTAAACACTAATTATTATCTCAAAGTTGTCTTCCTCCAAAATTCTAATGTATCATTAACTGAATTCATGATACCTGCTCCTGATATATCTTAGCATATCTCTACTGCAGGCAAAGAAGCATCTAGTACTTCAAATATGAAATTTGTGAGGAGTAGAGATGGATTCAACATTGAATTTTCATAAGAAGTTGGCTTAAATGATATATATATATATTTGGAGCTAAAGTTGAAAAAGTCTCATAATTAATTAATTCAATGAAAAATGCAGATCCCTATAAATATATATAAAAACCATAATTGAGTGTTATTGAATCAATTAAATCTGGTATTTTTGGACATGATCATCATACCTTATTGGAATCCAATAAAATAGAGACAATTTTATTTGGTTGCTCATGATTTTATCTTTATGCAAAAACATAAATTAAAGTATCATTCAATGTTATTTTAGATTGATCAAATATATTAAATAAACTAGTATGGGCAAAAATTGTCTTCTAAAATTCTATCAGATCTAAGAAATTTAGTAGTGATAGAACTATACCTGAATATGATAAATAAATTAAGTATTCACTCATTAAACTTTTAGGAAAGTTATAGTTGGTTAAGGTATTATGAATGATATAATTTTTTTGTGTTTTTTTAGAAATGGTCTTACCATAGAATGAATGAGAATACTAAAATTTTGTATATATAAAATTCTAATGATATTAAATTTATATAAATTAGATTAATTTAATGATTTTTCCAAATAAGGAATAATAAAATAAATGAATCGATGTATATCTTATTTTTCTTATTGGTTAAAGAATTCATCAATTAAGAGATGCAAATAAAGTGAATTCAAACTGCTATTCCTGTTTAAAAACTGCTTTAAAACTATTCGATACTTTTTTCATAGAGTTACTTGTTTGGGTGTATAAGTGGGTAAAAATAAAATTATACTGCATTCAATAATTTTAAGATTCTTTTACATTTATGCACAGGGCTGTTATCAAGTATTATTATGAACTTTATTGACTGATGAGCTTTCAAAGCCTTAATCAATTCTAGAAGATAATGGGCATAAAGACTAGAGTTTATATTCCTCTAACAACTTGAAAAGCAAAAAAATCTTCCTGTCCTATTTCCCTTAAAATTCCTGGGTTTCCTATTCTTTTTTCAACTATAATGAGTTTCTTTTTTCCTTTTAATTACCAGCATCTTGTCTACTTGTTTTAATGGCCCAGTAAAGTATAATCGATAAAAACAAATTAAACGTAATGTTCATTAGCACTCAGAATATAAAATTTTACTTGAAGTATCTATTAATAATAGCTTCTTTTTTTCCTTTCTTTACGGTAACTTAAATAATGAATTGCAATGGTTTTTTTTAATTTTCTAAAAATGCCTCAAACTGAAGGCGAGCTTGTTCAATTTAAAATTATTTAGAAACATTTGAGCTCTCTATAAATCTTTTGGGGTAGAATATTGATAAAATTCTTTATCCTACAAATATTTAATTTATTTAAATTAAAGTAATTTTAGAGTTCTGGATCTCTGAACTATGGTTTTCAATATATATCTTATTTGAACAGGTGTCATTCCAACTGATGCAGCAATAAAATTGGTTTTATAATTTTATTTTCTTAAATTAAAAAAAAAATCATCTGCTCTACAAATTAAATTATAAATGCATTCATTTTTCAGTATCAAATTTTTTCTTTTTCTCCATAGTTTCTATTTTTTTTAGAGTAATTCGTTATCNCTATCAGATCTAAGAAATTTAGTAGTGATAGAACTATACCTGAATATGATAAATAAATTAAGTATTCACTCATTAAACTTTTAGGAAAGTTATAGTTGGTTAAGGTATTATGAATGATATAATTTTTTTGTGTTTTTTTAGAAATGGTCTTACCATAGAATGAATGAGAATACTAAAATTTTGTATATATAAAATTCTAATGATATTAAATTTATATAAATTAGATTAATTTAATGATTTTTCCAAATAAGGAATAATAAAATAAATGAATCGATGTATATCTTATTTTTCTTATTGGTTAAAGAATTCATCAATTAAGAGATGCAAATAAAGTGAATTCAAACTGCTATTCCTGTTTAAAAACTGCTTTAAAACTATTCGATACTTTTTTCATAGAGTTACTTGTTTGGGTGTATAAGTGGGTAAAAATAAAATTATACTGCATTCAATAATTTTAAGATTCTTTTACATTTATGCACAGGGCTGTTATCAAGTATTATTATGAACTTTATTGACTGATGAGCTTTCAAAGCCTTAATCAATTCTAGAAGATAATGGGCATAAAGACTAGAGTTTATATTCCTCTAACAACTTGAAAAGCAAAAAAATCTTCCTGTCCTATTTCCCTTAAAATTCCTGGGTTTCCTATTCTTTTTTCAACTATAATGAGTTTCTTTTTTCCTTTTAATTACCAGCATCTTGTCTACTTGTTTTAATGGCCCAGTAAAGTATAATCGATAAAAACAAATTAAACGTAATGTTCATTAGCACTCAGAATATAAAATTTTACTTGAAGTATCTATTAATAATAGCTTCTTTTTTTCCTTTCTTTACGGTAACTTAAATAATGAATTGCAATGGTTTTTTTTAATTTTCTAAAAATGCCTCAAACTGAAGGCGAGCTTGTTCAATTTAAAATTATTTAGAAACATTTGAGCTCTCTATAAATCTTTTGGGGTAGAATATTGATAAAATTCTTTATCCTACAAATATTTAATTTATTTAAATTAAAGTAATTTTAGAGTTCTGGATCTCTGAACTATGGTTTTCAATATATATCTTATTTGAACAGGTGTCATTCCAACTGATGCAGCAATAAAATTGGTTTTATAATTTTATTTTCTTAAATTAAAAAAAAAATCATCTGCTCTACAAATTAAATTATAAATGCATTCATTTTTCAGTATCAAATTTTTTCTTTTTCTCCATAGTTTCTATTTTTTTTAGAGTAATTCGTTATCGTTTAAGGAAAGTAAATTTAATTGTAACTTTATTTTAAGGTTTGATTATTTTTGGTTTCTTTTTCTTGATATAAAATTCTGATTTATTGATAATAAAAAATTTGGAAAATCTACCATCCAATATTACATTTTTACCTAATTTTAAATTTTGGACATATTATTCTTTGTTTTAATTTTGTAAGAATCATTTTTTAATAAAAAATATTAAAATGTGTATGTCATGACATTATTTCTAACCAAGTACAATTATAAGCAATATATATAGAATTAGTGTTATTTTTTAATTGAAATTCTAAAATATTTTGGAAAAAATTCAATCTCTAATTGACATGTAGTTATTTTTAATTATTAAAATTAAATTTTTTATTAGGCTAAAACTTATTTTTTTGAATTTAACTAAATTTTCCACCCGTTTATGGTAAGCATTAAAACTTTCTAACTAATTTTTTTAAAACTATCTATTATATAATCGTTTTAACTAATATCATTTATAGGCAATATCTTTTCAAGAACTCTAGGTCTCAAAAATTACTACATGCTAGACCTGACCTCCTCTATAGTTTCTTGGGAATATTTATTGAATTTTGTCTTGTAAAATGTTAAATAGGTATAAAGCTTTTTAATGAATTTGAAAAAGTTTGCAAATTAAAGAATATCAATTTAGGATTTTTTTAGGAAAAGTTGCTTGACAAAAATGGCTAATTTATGAACTGTACATTTTAAATGAAGGTAATAAAGTATTTTAGTAATACTATGATAATGAAAGAATTATTTGGATTACAAGAGATGATTTAACGTAAATTTATATTATAGATAAGCTTTTAAAATGATGAGATTTTCATTTGGAAAAAAAAAGTCCTTTAAAATTTTTAAAAGAACACATCAATAAATTGAAGAAAGAAAAATTAGAATTCAGAAACAAAAGTTTAACAACATAAAGCAAAAACTAGAGCGAAAAAGGCAAAATCTGAGAATATTGAACAGAAAATTAGAACTTATCAAACCATGTTTAGAACTAGTCACTACAGAAATAATAACAATAAGATGCTCAGATTTTTAGAAAGTAATAAAAGCAATGATCAATTATAATTTAAAAGTAATTATAATTGATTTTATAAATATAATTTCTGCAACAATAATATAAACGATGAAAACAAGTAACTCTATGAAAAAAGTATCGAATAGTTTTAAAGCAGTTTTTAAACAGGAATAGCAGTTTGAATTCACTTTATTTGCATCTCTTAATTGATGAATTCTTTAACCAATAAGAAAAATAAGATATACATCGATTCATTTATTTTATTATTCCTTATTTGGAAAAATCATTAAATTAATCTAATTTATATAAATTTAATATCATTAGAATTTTATATATACAAAATTTTAGTATTCTCATTCATTCTATGGCAAGACCATTTCTAAAAAAACACAAAAAAATTATATCATTCATAATACCTTAACCAACTGTTAATAAATTATAAAAATGATTCTTATATCTATTAATAGATTTCTTTTATATTAAATTATTAAGATATCAATTCAATTGAAAATGATAATAATTGATAATAGTAAAGTTTTAAAAAATAATAAAAAATAAAAAAAAAGCTCCGCGTCCGGGAATTGAACCCGGGCCTCAAACGTGACAGGCTTGAATACTAACCACTATACTAACGCGGATTCTTAGTATATATCTATATATATAATAAATATATCCCAGAACATAATTTTATTAAGATCCAATAATACTTGTTATCATAGAAGAAATTTTGATGATAATTTTGATTTGGTTAAGTAATAGAATAATTTAGATCTTCATTACTCAGCTTATACAATTAGTTAGTTGAATTGTTTATTACTTCAATCTATGTAGTCATTCTTTCATTTAGAAACTTGTAGATTGTATTAAAAAACCCTAAAAATATATTTAATTTATTTAATATATTAAATATTAACAAATATATAAATTCAATTTTGTTAAATCATTATATATAGTAAGTTTTAATTCTCTAAAAATATTAGTAAATCATTTATCAACCTTAAAATACACTTAGTTATGAAAATTATTATTAAAATTGTATAATTACCTCATAATAAAAATACGTATAGCATAATATTAGAGGCTAATTGGGTATTCACTTAAATTTTTTTTTATGTTTTAAAGGCTTTAGCAAATCTCCGAGCCTATTATATATATATAGCATATGACAAAAGGATCTAAGGATAGATTAGAAAAGTATTAAACTGTCAAATTATAGTTCCAGACCTTAAATGTTATAAAACAGAAATCTAGAATTAAAAAGGTGAAATAAATGAGCTAAATGGATTTATATTAGATAAATATAGAGATTGCTCCGAATAAAAACCCATATATATAACCTTTTTATTAACATTCATTAATGAAACTTCAACCAAAATTTCTTCCATTATTATTATTAGTTAGGAAACACTTATCTTTTACAGATTTTTGAAATATTTACATCATTCACAACAAAAGCTAAAACTCTAATTTTTATTGGATTTACGAAGAAAAATTATGATTAAAAACTAGAATTTATAAAATTATAGATATTTGTATTTAGTTCAATATTGTATAATTAAATTGAATAATAATTGAATAATAATAATAATTGATAATGGTAAAGTTTTAAAAAATAATAAAAAATAAAAAAAAAGCTCCGCGTCCGGGAATTGAACCCGGGCCTCAAACGTGACAGGCTTGAATACTAACCACTATACTAACGCGGATTCTTAATTTATATCTATAGAATTTATAAATCTTAGACAATTCAGCAATGCTTATCATCTTTTAATTTATTATTAGTAAATAACCTTTTTTAATTTTTTAATCTTTATTAACTTAAATTTTGATAAATAATCTAATATATATAAATGTAACATAACATATCGTGTATATAAATCACAATAAAAATTATCATGAATTTATTAGTCTAATTAATTAACTTAATAAATATTAATAAAAATTTATTTGCAAATGTGTATGGGACCAAAATGCCCTTGTATATATCCACCTTTACCGCATAAAACTCTAAAATACATTTCTTTTAGAGAAAGATCTCCAATTGATAGAAACTTAATTAGAAACAAGTTGACAAATATTTCGAAACCTTTATTAACTAAAATTAAATACTAGTCCAGACCATCATAATCAATACAATATTAAATATTTGCTTTATTTAACTTGTTAGGCGAATAAAGTGATTAGTGGTTTAGAATATAGAAATTATTAAATAATTATGAATAGACAGTAATTTAGTTAACTTAATTGAACGTTAATGAATTAAACAAAAAGTAAATTGATAGATGCTAATATTGGCTTGACGAATATGATAAATTAAATAAAGATAATTAAATTACAGTTTTTGCAGATGTTGCCAGAGGGATTCTAAGTAAAATTGTAGAAGTAGAGGAAGAGAAACATTAAATGTTAATGAGAGAATTAAAAGATGCTTGTATTAAGAAATATAATGATGAAAGCGAGGTTGATGAAGTGGCCATATTATAGGTAACTTAAGAAACATAGCCTGATCAACCAACAGTTTAAAAATAAAATGATTAAAGTTTAGAAATAGGAACAAGCGAAAAAGTCAATTAAAATGTATTAGAATCACCAATGAGATCAAATAAAAATAATTTATCAATGAATCATCCTCATAATTCATCAATATGTAATATAAGAAGATTTCTTGAAAATTCAAGTCCAAAATCTCCATTAAATTTATCCTTTTGTAAAAGTTAAGAGAAATCTTTTGGAGATTTTAATAAAAATAGCACTTAAAAGAAATAATAAAAATGTTCAACTATTATAGGAGGAGGTGTATATAATGATATTATTTCATTAAAAAAAGAATTAGAAATGATTTAGAGAGATATAAGCAGATTAGAATTTAAAAATAAGAAAGATGAGTTTTTATTAAATAGATAAAATTTAAAGAACCATTTTTAATAAAGTAATGAATAAATTCGATAAGAATTATTGAATATTCGTGCTTAAGTATATATTTATATTATTTAAGACTTAAAATGATGAAAGTTTTACAGATAATTAAAGAAAAGAGAAATTGAAGATAGAAAGAAATCATTCTGCTTTTAGAAAAGAATTAATAGGATCAAAGAGCCCAAGAAATGAAAAATATATTAAGTATGTGGAAAAGTATTCAAAAAAATACATACCAATATTAGATAGAATATCATAATAAGAATAAGAACTTAGATCAGTTCAATCCCAAATAAAATTAGCTGAAAAGAAAAGGACTATTGAAGAAAATAGATCTAAAAAAATACTTTGATATAATATATTTATATATTTATGGATATTCATTTTAATTAATACTTTTACTTTTATTACTATTAAAAAATTAAATATATTTAAAATGTTTATTTAAAAGGATTTAGAGTCTAATAAACTCATTATAATATGCAATCATAATTCTAAGGTATTCTAATATCACCACTTATTTTATTTTCTTATACTATTGATTCTAAAGATGGATTTCTTCTTTCAACAACCAATTCAATTTCATTTGATTTAATTACATTATTTAATATTTTTCCATGACTTTTATCTCTGATAAATAATCCAATTCCATCATTATCATTGATATTATTTTCAAGAATTTCAGGTCTACTATCCTTAAGTATCATAATTCCATTACTTTTATTTTTCTATATATTATTAAGTCTAATAACTGGAACTGCTGTTATACAAACAATTCCATCATTCTATAAAATATATTACAATTATTACATTTTCAGCAATAGTATTTCTAAATATCCAACATTTACCACATTCAATTAAGAATATACCTTCACATCTTCCACCAAGAATTTTATTTTCAACAATAAACGTATCTACTGAATTTGCTCCTCCTAATGCTATATTAGCTTTAATATTATCTGAAATTTCATTTTTTTCTATTACTGCTGATGAAGTTTCAACTAATAATACTCCTTATCCTAAATTTTTTGAGATTTTATTTTTTAATATTGAAATGCGTGATTCTGTATCTGCTTTGATTCCTGCTTTTTTATTATAACCAATAAAATTATTATCTTCAATTCTAGTATAATTATTTTATCCAGTACAATGAATTCCATTTTCCTTATTTCCAGATATAGTCTAATTTGATCTTATTCTACAATCGCATCTTAATTATTCAAATACTTTAGTCAAAATTCCATCAGTAAAATTCTTATCAATTTTATTATCAAATATAGAAGGTTCTGCTGACAAAACTTCAATCCCAACAACATTTGATTTTATTTCATTTCCAAATATTTTTGCTTTATTACCAATACCTACTTTAATTCCAGGACCTTCATTGTTTTCAATTCTACATTTCTCTATTTAAGGAACAGCATCTGCTCCAACTACATGAATACCAACTTTTTTATTCTATAGTATTTTACTACTCACTATTCTAACAATTTTATTAGTGGGTGATTGTTGTACTAAAATACCTCCATAAGTATGATTATGCACTTTACAATCTTTAACTATTAAATCTCCCAATTTTATGAAAATACCAATAGTTTTAGCATCTTAACTTTTAGATGAAGTTCCTTTAATTTCACATCTATTCAACTAGGCCTCTGCTCCATTATTTATTGCAATACCTGGTAATATACCTTTGAAAGATTTAACAATAAAACTAAATCAGTAATTAATCACTTACTTTAAAGCAATAAAACACTCTTCCATAAACAACTTACCACCATTTAATAGTACAACGCAATTCATATTTGTTTCAATTGGTACTTTACTAACAAATTCTTCATCTGGATTTGATTCCAATCCAGGTCCTCCATCTTCATGACCTCCAAATAAATGCTTTGCAATTTCTTATCCTTCAATCAATTTTTCTAATTCTTCAACTTCCTCACTTGTACCACTATGAGAAATTTTTAATCCAATTAATGTGCAACGTTGATCACCTACTAAATCCACTAAAACTGTAGGTTACGAGGATACAACTAAGATGATATCTCCAACTTTTTCTTTAGGCTCCAAACGAAGTCCTGGTTTATTTATTACTATATTTGAAGAATAAAGTCCTGGTGCAATTTTAATTACAGTGTTAGGTTCAGCCCTATCAATAGCTTCTTATATTGTTTTATATGGTCCACTTTCTGAATCTACAATCAATTATTATTTAAGAGCTCCCTTTAGTACATTATTATCTTAGTGATTCATTAATTAAATTTCAAAAATATATTAAAAATGAATATTTA